CTATGTGATGAGTTTTCATTTCTGTGCTTAATTGTTTCCTGGAATACAATAGTGGATCACATGGGATGCAGGCTAGAAAAAGGTGAGTCCTTTAATGGCTCGTTGCTAGTCTTGGCTGTTCACATACAGGTGGCAGAAAACCTTGTAAAAACAAAAAGATCTCCTCTGGAACTTTCCAGGCTGAGAAATGATTTGTTTGCACTCTAGCCATGGTGGAAGGAAAAGGTGTCATTAAGACACTTTGCTCTGGAAGGTTTGGTAACCCTTGGTGTACTGAATGCTATCCATAGATTGGGCTGAACCAAGGATTTCAGGGTTGGCTTCTGGCTCCTTGTGAATTTTATCCAAAGACAAGAATCCTTGATGCCAAGAAGTGATTTTTTTTTTTTCTCCCTTTCAGACATTTTTTAAAAGGCTGAATGCCTTGTTTGACTTCACAAGATAATAAGATATAGAAATATATGCCATTGCCTTAGCTGGCAATTCAGGAGGTAATACATTTTCTTTTACAATAGCTTGTTATGGAACAGAAAAAGACTGCGCTGATCTGCTCATGGGGATGCTCTTTGCTACATGTTCCCTTAGTCTCTGATATTTAACAAGCCTGTGATTTTTAGCAGCATGCATTTGTGCCACATGCGTGTTGCATCCCTTCTTTCACTGCCTGCTTTTTGTTTTCAGACAGAACTTGAGTTATTCAGTCTCTTGGTTGTGAATATGATTTTGTTCGCTTCCCGAAAGTAAGGTAAATGTTTGGGACCAGTGGGCCCCTATTTTAGGCTTCCTGGAAAGCAAATGCAAAATGGAACAACTCAAATTGCTTTGAAATTTAGTCTTTCTAGGAGTAGTATAGAGTCATTGGTTATCTTTTCTAGCATTCTGAGCTCTGGCACTAATCAGTTTATTAGTTCTTGGTTCCTTTCTGCCTTTCATTTACATGTTTCAGAATTATTGATTAGTGTACAAGTTATGCTGTCCAAAACAGAACCAGAAGTTCCTTACGTTGAACTGTTTGATACCACTTTACCTATCTGAGAGAAAAAAAACCCATGTAAGACAAATTCTGAATTACTTATTTCAGCTGCCTTACGTGGCATAGAGATGGCAATCAGTAGCTTCAGGAGGTTTAGTTCCTACAGTGATCAAGGTTGCTCTAACGTGGCAGTAGTTCTCTCTTGCACTTTATTAATTCAAGACAAAGCCTTGTAAAGCTGGTGCATGTTTCATTTACAGCACTGTGGCCTCATACTTGCCATTATGTGCACTTGGCTTCTATTCCGTGTTGTTGCTCTGAAAACAATTCCTATTTTGAAAATATGTTAAAATATTATACTCAGTCTTAAATTTCCAAATGTGCATGCTTGTTGAAACTACATGTTTGTCATTGCAAGCACTGTTAAACTGCAAGTGAAAGAGCCACCTGTAACTACTTCCTAATGTGTCCAAGGAAAGTAAACCTCAAATAAAAGAAATGCTTGAACTGGGCAAGGCGTGTTTGTTTCCACTGTCACCTGAGCGACCGCTGACCAGGTATACCTGTCAGATTGAGTGCCTGATGGTTGTATTTTGTTCGTTCTCTGCATACTGGGGAAAACTTCCTTCCTTAGAAAGTGGAAGTGCAGAATGTTCACACCTTACCAAGCAGTGCCAGGCGAGACTGAATGACTGACCAAAAACTATAGGAAAAATTGTTTTTTGAATGTAGCATATTCAACCAAGAGACCCCCTTTGGGTGTCAGATACGCATGTGTAGTCACAGGCTTCAAAATAAACTGATGTAACAGAGGGAGCCACGTGAAAGATGCAATATTTTGTCTGTTGTAGTAACTTTTGTGGATTCTTATTTGGTTGATCTCATTTATTTGTTTACTGGCTCAGAGGAAAATGAGTTGGCTAAAGACCTGCCTGTGAGAAAAAGCAAATGCTGACAACTGAATACAATCTGCATAACTTAAAATGTTCATAGAAGAATTACTAATTCATCCCCCTAAATGTATTTTAAATTTTGGCTATTCTAACATAGCTGGCTTGTTTAATTGGCTTTGGTATTTGTCATTCTTTCTTCCATATTTTAGCTGTTACAGTAGGGACAGCACTGGCTTGTACATGCTTTTACATGTGCATGTTTCTGGATGGTAGTGGCATTCATTTGAGAATATGGATGGCTGAAGACAGAGGTTATTTTGCCATTATTTTTCATCTCGATGCTTATGTTTACACAATTTAATTTTATTGGTGCACTGGGATGTGTCTGACACGTGGAGGAGGATATAACCAATGTGTAAAGGACAATTTGTTTCTTTCTTTCCTTCCTCAAGGCAAAACACACATTCATACACATACATATTTTTTTTAACTTTAGGAAGAAAAGGTGGAGAAGAAACTGCATTGGGAACTTGGCAGAAATAACTGTAGTAACTTAAATATTTCTGGACAGGATATACATTGAGGCGCTCAGCACAACGCAGAGCTGTGAGTGAAGTGTGACTGAGGTGTTCTTATAGGCCTTCTAAAAAGGCCCTCCCAGAACTTCTCCAGTACTTATTGCAAAAAGATGATCCTTGGTATCAAGCTCCTTACAGAGGAGCAGAAGTCTTTTGATCCTAGAGCCCTGCTGCCTGGTTCAGTGCTCGTAATGATTTAATTCATGGAACCACAGAATATCCTGAGTCGGAAGGGGCCCGCGGGGAACACTGAGTCCAATTCCTGGCTCTGCACAGCACCACCTGAAAATCAAACCATATTTCCGAAAGCATTTGTCGAAGTCTTTGTCAGGGGCAGGAAAGCATGAGCTCTGCATACACTGCATCGTAACGCACGTGATGCTCAGCGTCATCTGTTTAAAAAGAGCAGAAGCCATTTTTTAAATAGGGGAGATGCTGCTGTTCAGCAACCCGCCCAGCATCGCTGCGCTCCACGCATTCTGTTTGCAAACATACCACGTATTTCTGTTTCCTTGAGTGCATAAAGGATGAATAGAAACTAATTCTATTTCAACAAAACAAATGAAGCATCACAAATAGCAACAAACAAATAGCAACTCAAAGTGGCTGCAAATCAGCTTCTAAATATTGTCACTGAAATTAATATCTGGATTTAATAGTTCTTGCCAATCCTATAAATGTTTTTGGAAAAAAGCATTGCATTAATGCATGACATAGAAAGGATAAATTTGCCTTTAAATTGGAATGCAGTTCAAAGTGACTGAGTTCTCCAATTTCAGCCGCTATATTTGCCAAAGAACAAACTGGAAAATGGAACTGGTATCATTCATTTGCTCCTGGTTCTCTGGGAGTTTTGAGGAAGGGACTCCCTATGTGAATAAAAGCAGAATAGATTTTTTGTGTTCTGTAACAACCACTGCATTTCGCTTGACTCCGATGTCAAATACCTTTGATTTACTTTCAGTTCTATTTAGCACAGAAAAGCTGTAAGAAACCAATACCTTTTTAAAAAGCCTTTCTCATCAATCATGGATGACCCATGTGAATAACAAGTAGACTGCATTATAGGAAGATTTTCCGACTTCTGCTGCTATTTAAGTATATATTGTAGCTGAATATAGTTTTATGCTACTCTTAGATAGCTTACACTGAATAAAATAGTTCAATTATGTGTAGGCCTTTTTAGGTTTGACAGTTTTCAGAAACAATTTGGATGTTAAAAAAGTCTTGAGAAAAAGTAAAGTATAGTGTCCCTCATCGTAACAGGCATTACCTCCACTGCAGCAGTACCTTGCTGATCAAACACATTGTTTTATTACCTTTATTATCTGCTATTACAATTGATTGCAAGATTAGATTATTTCTAAAGTTTGTGTTTATTGCGTGAGGTGTAGTTAGCAGGGCAGAAATAAAGAAAACAGCATCTCCTCCCGAGGAACTTAAAGTCTGGATAAAAATCCAGTTATTCCGTAGTGAGCTACAGCTGGCTGAAATAAATACCTGTGTCCTTCCTGCTGCCTCCTCTCAAAAACGTCAGCTTGGATTTTCAGCTGATTTGGCATTAGCATTCTTCAGTGGAAATGACTGCGCTGCTCTCCAGACACCTTTAGGGTTCTGTTCTGATCTATTTGCTGCCCTTCATATTTCTACAACAGCTTCATCTGTGGGGCATCTGGAGGAGTCACAATCATGCTTAAAATGCCCTGCTTAACGTGAATTTGTTAGAGGACTCCCCCAGGCTGTCTCTGTATGCTTAGCAGATTCAGCTGTTGAAGTCTGAGAGAAGTCTAATGTGGGACTTGAGACTGAAAGAGTCATACAGAAATTTCACATTCTCTTACGTCAATATGTCACCAGTCCAGATCTCTCATCCCTGCTTTGAACCTGCAAAATGAACAGCTATGTCATAGTGACTGATACCAGTTCCATTTTGCCTACCAACTCAGTTGATTTTATATTTTATTTCTCATTTATGATGGAATAATCAGCAGCTCTTTTCTCATTTATTTTCTCATATTTTTATTCCAGGATTTGCCTCTGAAGCAGGGAGTGTCTGCATTAAAAATGACCTGTAGTTCTCTGCTTCATAGGTTAGAAACTTATTTTAATATTTTGTGGCTAAGCACAGTCCCGTCTTTTTCAAAAAATAAAATAAAATCCAACGATAAGTGGTTTAATTGGCATTGAATGTGGATTATAAGCATTTTGCATTGGGGCTTCCATTATTTTAGATGAAATGGCTTATACACAAATAATTCGTCCAGCTGAGGCAATGAAAGCTCTGTTTACTTGCAGCCATTTTTTCTGAATTAACTTTAAGTTTTAAAAAAGTTGACTACGGCACAATGCATTAAGTCTTATTTGGACATTTCCAAAGTACCATATTGGCTAGGCTTTACTGCTTTGAGCATTTACAGTCCAAAGCTTTCCAAATTCCAAATATTTGTTGGGGGAAAGAAATCTGTTCATAAATCACTTTACTTCAATGGGACTGCTATAGCCAGCACACACACACAACCATGTGTCTTGTATTTACTTCTGAATTGTACACCGCAGATGCTTCTTCAGCTCCTTCCTCTTCCTCCATGGGCGGTGCTTGCAGCTCCTTTACCACCTCTTCCAGTCCTACCATTTACTCTACCTCAGTCACCGACAGCAAGGCTATGCAAGTGGAGAGCTGCTCCTCAGCCGTGGGGGTAAGTAACCGAGGGGTAAGTGAAAAGCAGTTAACCAGTAACACGGTCCAGCAGCAGCAGTCAACGCCGAAGAGACACACAGTGCTGTACATCTCGCCACCACCTGAGGACTTGCTGGACAACAGTCGGATGTCCTGCCAGGATGAGGGGTGTGGATTGGAGTCAGAACAGAGCTGCAGTATGTGGATGGAGGATTCACCCTCCAACTTCAGTAACATGAGTACCAGTTCCTACAATGATAACACTGAGGTGCCACGTAAATCACGCAAACGAAATCCAAAGCAGAGGCCAGGGATCAAACGCCGAGATTGTGAAGAGTCCAACATGGATATATTTGATGCCGACAGTGCCAAAGCGCCTCACTATGTCCTTTCTCAGCTCAGCACGGACAGCAAAGGCAACTCAAAAGCAGGAAATGGGTTGGTATCTGCATTTTTTTGTTTTAAAGTTCTATCACCATATGCAAAACCAAACTAATAAAACTCCCTTCCCATCACCCTTCTACTCAGGTTCTCACATAAATTCCTTCCCTTCTCTGCCATTCCCTTTGGCATCCTAGCCCGTGATACAGTCTCATTAGACTTTAGCTGTTTAAACATTACGGATTAACAATCTTTAAATAAAGGTAAAGCTAAAGTTTGTCACAACAATTGGAGGAGCACTGATGCACTCATCTGTATTATTGTTTACGCAAGATTCCTAAAAGTTTGCACAATCCCATTTTTAAAATGACCATGAAAATGTTATTGTATGTAAAAACAAAGGCAGAAGTGGACTGGACGCACCCTAAACATTACTGCTTCTGCAGTATTTTATGTGAGGATTTCAGTCTGTGCACTTTACCTTCTTGTTCGTCTCTTTCTCTATTTTCAAATAGAGAGAGTGATAGGAGTAGAAGTTAATGGCTTGTTAAGACTTCTCATCATTTGAATTAACATAGCCTTTTTTTATTAAAATGTTAAGATTCTGTGGTGAACTAAATTTTGTTTTTACTTGTGAATTCACTTCTGTATTTGATTTTTCAGAAATAAATCTCTAATCCTGTTTCTCTCTGTGCTTCTGGGTTGTGTGCATGCGTGTGTCTGTATGTGGGCACGCCTGGGTGGTGGTCTCTCATCTTTCCCACTTCACACTGTTCATTAAATGCATTTCAGTAGTTGCTTAAAGAAAAAATATCCATCAGCTTAGTGTGTTGATTATATATATATATACTTTTTATCTTGTGGCTTTTTTAGTACTCTTAAGATGGTCGGGTGGATAGATTTGATTATTTTCTTTTGTTGTTTTTTTGGGGGAGTTATTTATTTTGTTTCTGTTCTTATGTATGTGCTTGAAGTATGTTCTAATGTTCATCACAGTAATGGTGAATATTAAAGTTTGCTTGATGGGAAAGATTATGAACTTCTCATATTCCAAAGGGAAAGAGCCTGGAGTCTGTATTCCCAGGGTCACTGCAGTTCCATACTTAAAATTTCACTGTGAGAAAGTGAGTCTGAGAAACTCTCCAGAGTGTGCTGCTGCTTCTTCCTGCACTAGGTACATCATTTGGAAATACGGAGCCAGCCGGTAACTGGGAGCTGGTGCTGTCACCCGCTGCTCTCCTCAAACTTTAGACAGCAACAACTGTACAGAGATCATTTTGGTGTCTATGACAAACGCTTTAAGCTTGTCTCATGTTGCTCAGCGTCTCTTATTCTGGCAACTGAAAATTATAATGAAGTAAAACATTAGTTCTTGCTAGAACCTAGGAAGCAAATTAGCGTGGTTGCTTGGAACAAGGAAGCTGCTGCCACTGAGCACAAAGGAGGTCATTCAGTCAGTTACAAAGGGAAGAAACTATCAGGAGGCAAAAAACTGTGTGATTCGTGGCAGAAAGAGGAGACGTGGTAAATTCGGGAACAATATATGAGATTTCAATCCAAAGCATCACAAGAGTATAGTATTCCCTAAAATGTTAGGGGCTAAGCAATGAGTATTTCAATACTTGCATCAGTATCCTGAAAACAAGGGGTTGGATAAGCATATATCCATATAAGTGTCTCATACAGGCTAGATTAAACTGAAGCAAAAATCTTATGTAACAGAACTGTCCTTTTAAACAAGAGCTTTGCAATGAGAAATAGCTACAGTCAGAAAGTTAATTCTGTAGTTAGAATATGCAGTTTTAGTATTACAAATGTAGGTCATGGAAGTGGCTCTTAAAACTTTCTGTAAAACTTTCCATCCTGATGGGGTTCAGCCAAAGAAGGTCATTTACGTTGGGCCTGAAGAAAAAAGCCAGGAAAGAACACTTGCTGATTTGTGAAGTGGAAATAGAGTTTGTCTCAAAAGAGACTTCTGTTTGTCTTTCAGATGTAGAAAAAAGAATTTATTCCTATGGAAACTTAGAATTTCTGAAAGCCTTTTGAAAATAGATAAGTTAAAAGTGATTAAGCACAAAGATTCTCAGATTTCAGTCATGCTTGGTCTCGCTTTCACTTTCAGGTCTTCACTTGGAACAACCATGATGCAAGTGCAGGACCAGACAAACGTTAACTCGTGAAATCTATTTTAATAGAATCATGGGTTTTGCCATTTGTATTTTAGAAAAGAAGTGCTAGCTTTGAGGAGACATTGTCTGGTAACAATTAAGCTAATAAATAAAGGTGTGTGTGTGTGAAATATTATTTTTACTACTTGTATATGCATGGCTACTAGTATTATAAGTCAACTAAATTAAAGGATGTGTAAATGATATATCCTGATACTTTGACAACTAAGAGCACTGAGAAATTCTGGTGCAGTCTTTAAAATTACTTCCATGTTCATCATCTAATCTTACTGAAAATAATTCTCTCTTAAAGCTTCTTAAGGGAAGACTTTCCAAGTAATTTTTAGGCAGCATTCCTTCATGTAAATGCTGCAAGGTGTGAAATGTTAGTATGCTGACAATGAAGGTAACTTGGTTTTAAGAGCAAAGTGCTTTCAGGAAAACCTGATGGTGTGCTGGAGTGGCCAATGAGTCAATGTCACAATGGTTAAACCTTGTATTTTTGGTATCAAAAGTGAATTTCATTTTAATGGCTGCCTCTCTGACTCTTCCCTTCAAAATTCTCTATGCAGTCTTCTGCATTAATTTATTTACCTGGAATTCTGAAGTGCAACAAGGTCAGCATAAGCAATCTGTGTGCTGCATTTACTGCAGTGAGGTGAGTCCAGGCAGAGGCAAAGGCAGCACCCTTACAGCTGGCGTTGCTCAGCGTTCCTCTTCACACCCCCTATGGGAACTGAACTTCAGCTGTGTAATTTAAAGTTCTGAATAAGAAAAAAGACATTGAGTGAAAGTTACTAAATGTATTCCTTTTAATGACTGGTCTGTTGGAGCAATGTCCTGACAGGAAGTAAAGCTAAATGATAATTTAACAGGTTTGAATTCAATTACTATTTATCCTAGCTTGTACAAAAGCAAAGAGCATAGCGCTGTTAACTACAGTGTACTTAGCATACCATACACTACACTGAAGACAGTTTGCCCGTTTTATGTTCCTAAAGTAAGGCCTGTTTTTACACAGCATTTTCCCAGCAGCCTGTCTGACTTGCCTCTAGCTGTACGCAGGGCTCATGGCAGAAGGATGCTGCCATGTGGGCCTCCATCCCTCCGGCTGCTGGCACAGGCCTGATGGGGTCGGGGCAGCTGAGGAAGAAGGAGCAGTAGGTCTGGGACCTTGCCTCTTCCACACTTAACCTTCAGGAGCAGAAAAAGTGAGGTTCAGGCCCAGCGCAAACTTAGCAGCTCCCTGAGGTGCACTGTAGCCCTTTGTGACTTGCACTGCAGACTTTGGAAGGTTTAGTGGAAGTTGGAGCGTGGCAGTGAGGACTGTGGGCTGCGGGGGGCTCAGGGGCCAGAGCCCATCCCTCCCTGCAGACACAGGAGGTCCCTCTGCAGCAGGAGCTGTGCTCAGTGCCTCCGAGGCGTTGGCACATGGTGAGGCCTCGTGCTGTTCCACTGTGCAGCAGCTGTAGGAAAGCTGTGATGTCCGTTAGGGTAAGTCACCCAGCAGCTGGGAAGAGAGCACTACAGGCTGCTTCAGCGTCAGGTCCGTGGCAAGCTCAAACAGTGGGTGAAGACAGCAGCAAAGCTCTCAGTATTGTTGAAGAAAAGGCATTTCTCTCACCCTTCTCCCTCAGAAAAAAAGTCCTTAAGTTACTTCTGTATGTTGCTCACTGAAACGAGATTTTGGTTTCTGACTTAAAGCTGCTTTCTTCAGATTGATTAGCACTTAAAAATGCCTTTCTGGTAGTTTAAAGAAAAAATAATGACAGACTTGCATTCTGCATAACCTCATTGAGCTCTTTTTCTGCCTGTCCCATTTGCTCTGGCACATCTACATTTGTTAATGTTAGATAGGTTTATTGGACTTCGGGATAATTATAAAAACCTGCTCTATGTAAAATCAAGAGTTACCTTTCCGTATTCTTCAAAGTGAACAAAGAATTGGATCCCCAAAAGTTATGCTTTGGAGGGCTTCTTCATTCAGGTTTTAATTATGGAACTGATCTCAGCAAATACAGTACATCTTAACGTGCACACCTGCAAAGAAACACTCTTTTGCATACACTGCAGCTTTAAAATGTGTGCCATTATGTTGGAGTCTTTTACTACAACTAATTTGTTTTAAACATAAATTTATCAATGTGTTTTAACAGAAAATAGTATTTGAGTTTGCATGGATATGCAAGGTCAGGAGGAGACAGGCATGAGGCTGTTTTCCTATTTCAAGTATCATTTAACCTTAAATCCATTTAGTGTGTGTGTGTATATTTTTAACAGAAGTGAAATGGCTTATTCCAGTAATAACAGTCTGTATCAAGTACTATGAAAACAGCAGGTTATAAGCCTTCTATTCGTTAATATAGTTTAATGCTAATTGCTTTTCCCTTCCTTTATGTTTACTCTCTGAAAAAGCAGTTCCTATGTGCACTGGATGGAAGAGGCAGGGAAGCACCATTCCTCTTCATCCTGCAGGTTTCCTTCTCTGTCAGAAGGAGAAATCTCTCAACTATGAATCCTCTGTCCATTAATGTACACATCTTACCTTTATAGCTTTTCTGTGATTTTTTGGAGCTGGATTTTTAACATCTTTTTAATGGTCTGCTTTGACTTCTCAGAGCGTCGGAGAGCCAGAAAGGAGCTGGAGGGAAGAAGACCCCAATGTTGTGTGGTCAGTATCCAACCAAAAGTGAGGGGAAGGAGCTGAAGATAGTGGTGCAGCCTGAAACCCAGCACAGGGCTCGTTATCTGACTGAAGGCAGCCGAGGCTCAGTGAAAGACCGGACACAACAAGGTTTTCCAACTGTAAAGGTAGGCTGTTCAGTATTTTGTGATATGAAAGTTCCTTTTCAAGGGATACTTAAATAGATGGGAGCTGGTTCAGTTCAGATAAGGTGTGGTCTTTTCTTGAGAGTACAAAGACTAAATTGAAAGGACATATATCACAACATTACAAGAGGCATGAAATTTCATGTCAAGGCAATGATACCTCATCCCTAATGCATGTTGTTAGGCTACAATTAGATGAACTGCATACAAATAGTCAGGAAGTTGAAAAATGCAAAAGTAGGACAGCAAAATTCTGTAATTGTTCAATTGCTGCTGCTGCTGGGTCATCATTATGTCTTACTGTTAAGAATGTAAAACAAAGCTTCATTCCAAAAAACATTTGAAAGGTTGTGTGTTTTTTTAATAAGTATCAGGATCCACATAAGGATCTGTTAGCTAAGGTGTTAAAGGTCATCAGAAAGTTGCAGTGACCACAGGATGATTGTCAGTGTGGGCACCAAACTGCACACAAGCCAGGACCATACACTCATTGGAAATATGGTATATGGCCTCCATGCGTCTTTAGGAGAAGCGTAGCCAGCAGGCTCAGCAAGTAACCAGAGCTGTTCCCATACAGTATGATAACTGTTGAGTCACATCCTGAACACTTGATTGAGCACCTGGGGAAAGGACCTGGTCAGCCCTGGGAGCACAGGTGAAGGCAATTCAGCTGAGTGACTGGAACAAGTGGAGCCCGGCTGCACCTCTTACACCTCATTTAAGGGCTGACCATCACTAGGGAAGGAGTTCTGGTTGGAGATCTCTCCTTTGTTGGTTGTTTTTTTTTTTTCTTTTTTCTTTTTTTTTCTCTCTCTTTCTCTCTGCGAGCTGAGATGTTCACAGACAGGCAAGTGTTTTTCCTTTGTAATCCCATTCTATTCAGATTAGTCTCTTTGCTGCTGCACTCCTGTATTGTCCTTCCACTGCGTTGACCTTTCTGACCGTTACACATAATGACAAGAAAAATGAAAGTTGTTTCCTCTAATACTTTTCTTTAGTTATTCCAATTTAGGAAAGCAGCAATGCAGTTCTCTATACAAGTTAGAATGTCACGTCCACAAAAAAAAAAAGTTTTTAAGGCCTGCCTGGAAAAAAAAAAAAAAAAATTATGCTGTTTACAGGGTATTAAAATGTACTTGTTTTTAAAGAACAGTTCAACAGCATTGCAATCATCTCCAACACTTCGCTCCATCCTCTTTGGTAATATAGAAGTTCAGTAAAGTTTCCTAAGAAAAGAATCCATTCATATACTCCTGTTGCTATGGTGATTTAGTGTTCATTTATGTGGACTTTCTTAATAGGCCTTTGTTTGTCTGAGTTTCCTCTTAATTCCTTTCCCAGTTACTCTTTAGCACCCGTCAGAGAAAATTTTCTGTTTGGAAGAGTCTCGCGCTACAGAATTCCTTGGAAGCTCAAGCTGTTTTACCAGCAGGCGAACTGGTTCATAGTCTGCACACAAAATTACTTTGAACAATGAAGCAAAAAATGTATCAGCGACTTAGTCTGAAAACTATGTTTGTGTGCGAGAAACTTGCTTCTGTTAGAAAACATTACCTTTTAGTAAAGTTTTTTCTAAAGTACTTTATGGAAGCCATGGGCTTTCGAGCCCTTTGCTGTTAACCTGTTGGCCTGATTGCATACAAGTGAGCCTGTGATAGGCCACCTCCAGAAGTCTTCTGGCTTGGCTCGTCTGTAGCGTGTAACCTAGCTACCTGCTTTAAACTCGAGGCTCCATTTGGACATGGGAGGCATACTATGATCTTACAAGTGTTTGCTGATAGTTCTACAAGCCAGCTAAGAACTCCAAAACTAAGTTTTCTAAGTCTGTGAGGGACTGCTCTAAGAGGTCTGCTGGGGGGGCTCCACTCTCCTTTGCTGTCACCTTACTACTGAAGATTGAGCTTTATTCCTCTCTGCAAGTATTGACTGTGTTTCCAGACCTAGAACAAAATGTAATATTGTCACCCAGAAATCCTCTAGCAACAATTATGAAAACTCTGATTGATCAGTTGAATCATGAGAATGTAAGCTGCTAGCTGATTGATCTGCGTGCATATACTGACCAACACATTCTCTCATACCTCACAGGCAGCCACAGCAAGTTTCTTCTTTCTCAGTTACCTGGTGGATGTCATAGAATCATGTCAGTACTGGTGGGGAGGAGACAAGGAAATTGTTAAAGATCAGGTGGGAGTGAGGGATCATTAGAGATGTAAAAGTTGGAATTGGTTTAATTCCATGTGAAGGTGTATAGGATTCAAGCTGGTTTAAATTCCATTTATATATTTATTTATATTCCATTCACCTGTGTGTTGTCTTCTAACAGAAAAACAAAGGACATTAACTACCTATTTTTGGCTTTAGCAAGGAGGTTGGACTCAATGATCTCTTGAGGCCCCTTCCAACCCCTACAGTTCTGTGATTTCATTTATGAACTAGATTAAAAAAAAATCATGCTTACCTTTGGTTTGTTTCCAGCAACACTGGGAGTAGGTTCACTTCAAGTTCAGCTGCATAAAATGTTCCCTATTTTAATTAAGACATTGCTGGTCAGTTGAAATATCTGATTTGTGCTGCTGTGTTTCAGCTGGAAGGTCACAATGAGCCGGTGGTGCTGCAGGTGTTCGTGGGAAATGACTCCGGCCGAGTGAAACCACATGGCTTCTACCAGGCCTGCCGAGTTACTGGGAGAAACACCACTCCCTGTAAGGAGGTGGATATCGAGGGCACTACTGTTATTGAGGTGGGACTGGACCCTAGCAACAATATGACACTTGCGTGAGTAATTCTTATTAAAAAAATAGATACGTGTTTAACTTGTTTGTTTTCAGAGACTGATTTTCCTTTCTCAATTGGATTGCTTAGTAGTTAGAAGTATGAACATCTTGGCATGCATCAGGCACTTAGTTAAAGCTACAAGCATAAGAGAAACATTTAAATCCCATTCTCTGCTTGTTTATTACGCTTAATGTTTAGTCTTTTTGTAGGAATTTTTCTGTGGACTTTGTTATATTAGTGTTTCATGGACTGTTTAAAGAATAACCTGCACATTGAAGTTTCATGTGAACCATGAAGTTGTCTCTGGCTCCATGATACCTCTTCATTTAGCAATTATGAAACTGGTTATCAGAAGAGGAAAGGAGAGTAGCAGGATCTTTAGTTCTCAGAGGGGCTTTTAGACAAGGAGTTTAAACTGAGTTTTCTCTCCTCTCTATGCTTGTTCCATTTCTGTTGTTCCTGTCAGGTGGTTCTTTATCATGAAAGCTGAGTGCGTTCCTGTCTTTACTTCTTGTTTTGTATAACATTTTCCCATAAGTGAAACTACCTCTTAAAATAATTTGATTGCCCTCAAGTGGTAATATAAAACCTTGTAAGCATAGAGATACTGGATGAAATGAGTTACCAAGGAAGACAAGTTTTGTCTAGGCTGTTTTCTCACAAGATACCTGAATCCCTCAGGAATCTTCCTGGCATGTCAGTGGTGATGTTGTAGTTGTCTGTTGAGGCAGTGGCAGTGCCACTTAGGAACTGCTGTCTCTTCTCCCCTTTTCTCTACTCACAAGCTGTTCCTCCTTGGGTGACATGCAGTGCAAAGCTTTGCTGTACTCAAATTCGGTATCAGATGCCCTGTGTACTTCTTGGATGTAAGGCCTGAGATCCTGGTAGAGTCAGTGTTCTTCTCCTTAGCACATCGGGCTGTGGGGTTTTTTTGTTTGATGTTTATCTTTTCTTCTAAATCATTTTGCATGTGTCACGTCTTTCTAAAAGCTGGCATGGCATCGCTCTCTCACCCTCACACTTTGTATCTATTTATCCCAGGACCACAGTTACTGCCCTAAACCTTTTGTTTTACTGTTGCTTTAAAGCAATCCGGAATATTTTTCATTAATAACCCTGCAGACACAGATCTAGTCCAGAGAATAAAAGTATAAAGATCTCTGATGATAAATTGAATGCTTACCAGAATTACTTTCTTATATGGCATTTTCTATTCATAGTATTTTCATGTTCCTTCCTCCCATGATTTGGTATCCAAATTAGGTAGGGGTGAATTGAAAACCGCTCTGTAATGAGAAAGGTTATGTAGAAATTTCCTTGTGAATAATTAATAATATTTCAGTAGTTACTTCAAGAATTGTGACTTTATATGGCTTACGTAACAAGTAAAAAGATTTTAAAAGATGCTGAATTTATTACACTCTCATCTGCTTCTTATTGTCAGGGTTGATTGCGTGGGTATACTGAAGCTGAGAAATGCTGATGTTGAAGCTAGAATAGGGATTGCTGGTTCCAAGAAAAAAAGCACACGTGCCAGGCTGGTATTTCGTGTTAACATCACTCGCAAAGATGGTTCCACATTGACTCTGCAGACACCTTCTTCCCCAATTCTGTGCAGTGAGTATCAAAGCAGAAATGTTGGTATTGGAGGACTCTGGGTTTTGGTGTGATTGAAGGAGTAGGAGAAAAAAAACCAACAAACCAACAACAAAATGAAAGCTGTGTTAATCTGTGATTATTCCAGAACTGCTATTGCTTAAATCAAATGGGATGATCTTTATTTGGAGTAGGGTGTTAGTTAAATGACTGACCAGTATTTAAAAGTAGTTACAAAATGGCTAATCTGTTATTAAATTCATTTTTGCCTTTTAAAAGATGAGTAATTCTGTCAGGCTTTCTTTGAACTGGTTGTATGACTTTAAAACAGGTTTTAATCTCTTTGTACTGTCACTTCCATCTGCCAGCTTTCAGTGATAGAGATGACTTGTCATGAGTTACTAAGCATGGCTCTGTACAGATGTGGGAGTTCATTGAGCCAGAGGGGGAATCTGTTCTGGTTCAGTGCAAGAATTAAACTTTTTACAGCTATTTATTAAAATGCTCTGTTTAGCACTGAGAACAGATGGTTGCATTGACTGTTCAGGTTATGCTGACCAATGTGGAAAATGAAATCGGAGTAGAGCTGCTTCTTCAGTTACAGGGAATTTTGCTCATCTTTTGGAGAAAAGATAGGAAAAATAATGCATCAATTGCTGTTTTAAGTTCTTTGTATTTCTTGATGAACAAGAGGATAGGAGAGCTTTTTCTCTGCATGATTATACAAGTGCATTAAAAAGAGTGTCCAGCAGCACGAGGGAGGTTCTCCTCCCCTCTGCTGTGCCCTGGGGAAGCCACATGTGAGCATTGCAGCAGGACAAGGGGCATTGAGCACAGATTGGAGCACAGGGCATTCCATCTGAACAGGAAAAAAAAAATCTTTCCTGTGAAGGTGGCAGAGCCCTGGCACTGCTGCCCAGAGAGGTAGGGGAGCCTCCTTCTCTGGAGATATTTGGAATCCACCTGGACACTTCCCTGTGCAAGCTGCTGTAGGGAACTGCTTTGGGGGGGCTGGCCTGGGGGGGCTTCAAAGGTCCCTTCCTGCCTCTGTGCCTCTATGATTCTGTGCCACTGACAGCAGTATTAACAATGTTCCCAAAGCTACAGACGTGAGATGCAGGCTCTTTAACAAAGCCTACTTAAAGCGTAGGCCTTACTAATTTGCTAGCAAACCTAAATCTGGTTTCTCTATTGAGAAGTTCATGTGTACTGAGCATATTTAGTAGCTGCGTAACGGTTGCCTAGGAGCCTGCTTCAACAGTTGTAGAAAAATCCTTTCTGAAAGGTCATTAAATAATTTGGACCGTTATGGTATGTGTGCTCTTCTATGCAGTAAGCTAAGAGAATACTATTATTAAACACTGAAAGTGGGCCACATGAATGCGAAACACAAGTACGGGCTTACGCCACTAGGATTTTATGGAGAATAGAAAAGCTGGCTGAACAACCTCTGCTAGGAACTGGATTTATTTCGTTGCATATTAAATGTGACAAAGTCAAAATACATTATTTTAAAAATCTGTTTCTTTGTTCAAGAGCCCAGAGGGAAGTTTAGATTCTTTGCCAGGAGGGTTCCAAAAATGTGCTTGTGCACTGAAGCGTGCTTCTGTATTTCAACTATTTTTGGTGGTCATTTTCTTTTGGCACAGGTGGTTTTATTGGGTTTGTGCTTTAAGAAGCACAGAAATAGTTTGCAGCATAACCAATTTGTAACCTTATAGCCCACCATTCGGCTGATGACTTTGGAGAGGCAGAGGTTTCTAGGGGTGTGCATTGATTAAGCTGCATCCCCTTTGCAGGTTCAGGGGATATGGATTGCTGTAGTCCTCAAAGAAAGAGACGTGACTGTAGCAAGGATTTATATTAGCAGGTATACATCGCTCTTGAAAATAGCTCAAACACTGAAAAATTTGTTTAAAAAATGCAGTAGAAAGGAGAAAAGATGACTTGTGGGTCATTTACCTATGTGTTGTTTTAAAGTCTCATTACATTTAGAAAAGAAATAATAGAAATAATATATTTAAAAGAAGAAATTTAGGATTTGTTTTGTTCTTTCCCATAAGTGAAATAAGGAAGTTATAATTCCGTAAATGAAAGCTCGTTTTTCTGGATACTGATGTTTTCTTGGACTTCAAGATATGTGTTTTGTCAATTGCAGCTCAACCAGCAGGAGTTCCCGAGATCCTAAAGAAAAGCCTGCACAGCTGTTCGGTGAAGGGTGAAGAGGAAGTTTTTCTAATTGGCAAGAACTTTCTAAAGGGAACGAAAGTGATTTTCCAAGAGAATGTTTCTGGTTAGTGCGAAAGCAACAATTCCTTGGAGAGAGCATGCTCGGGTTTACTCATTTCATACAGATTAGTTGTAGAGAACAAATTGACAAGCTGAATCAAGGGCACTAAAATAAATTGCTTTATATGGATGAGCAATAAATTATGCTTTTTAACTTTCATTTAGATGAAAATTCTTGGAAGGCAGAAGCTGAAATAGACATGGAATTGTTTCATCAGGTACTTATTACTGTTTTTTTTTTTTAACTTAATATTTTTCTTTTTATTATGACCTGCTGACTCCTTTTTAGCATGATCAAATCATTGATTCTTAAGTTTTAAGTCATTAAAGTCTTGGCAAACTCGCTCCAGGATCAATGGCTTATTACAAATAAAAAGCAAAATATAGAAATGGAGCTTAGGAAGATTTCACTTTTGCTTAAGGTATTGTGTGTGGCTCACATTGATGAAAGCTGGAAAATGTACCCAGTGGCTTTGTTTTCGTCAGTGCTGTTGATTAAGGGAAAGGGAGAAAGGGCTTTCCTCATTTGGAAGAGAAGAAAAATATAATTTTAAACAATATAGTAGTATTTTTAGTGCTATTTTTAATTTCTTGAATTTTGCTCAGATTTGACTTTCTATATTTTCTATACTAAGCTGACTAATAACTTTAAAACAATTAAATAATCTGTGACACTGTTCTGTCTCTAATCTTTGCCACTCCACAAGCAGTTGGACAGTTCTTACAGTAGAAAAACAAACAAAAAAACCCAAACCTAACAGCAGAAGATTTGAAATGTAGAAAGATTTTACTTTCCTTCATTGAAAAAGGAATTGTAGCGAGCCCAAAAGACAGAAGAGCTACAAATACATAATAATATACATCTCTTCTCTAGGAGCACTGCCTCTGTGCTCTAGTAACAAGCTTCTCTTTTGGGGTTGTGATTTTGTAGTGCGTTGCTTTTTTCCAAAGATGAGATGTTCATTCTGTTAGATCTGCATTTTTTTCCTTCATACTTCCGTTTAAGAAAAAATTAAGTGCCTGAACTGGTATAGAACTGCTCTGTGGAAGAAAAGAGTAGAAGGCAGCTGGCAACCAGCCTGACTGCGAGCTTCTTGGATGAGTGACGTTGTGCGTGTGACCCATCAGTGTGTAAATGAGAAGCTGAAATGCACGGATCCTAATTAAAATCTGTCTGAAGTAAAGCCAATCAGTTGGTGTGCAGAAATACTTCTCATATAACTTTGTGTCACTTGGAACAAGGCACGTGCCACTCCAGCTTGATTGTGCTGCAGCTCCAGTGCTTCTGGATAGATCTCACTTTAAAATCTGATGTCCAGGAAGTGTTGTCTATGAAACAGTGGCTGTATTAAAGCTGTTATACAATACAACCTGTAGTTCTATTGTGAGAATGAAAAGTAAAAGTGGTATTACAAGCTTCCTGGCTTCCTGATTTACTCTGGCTGACTAGTTCTGACTCTTTCCAAAACGAAATCAAAATTGTTACCAACTGACTTCACTGTTTTCCCCCATTTTTTCTGGTGTTCTATTAGTCTGTTTCTATGTTTTGATGGAGGTAGATAGTTGTAATAGTAATGAAGTAAGGTTTCTGATATGATTTTACTGTTTTTGGCATTACAGAATCACCTTATTGTGAAAGTGCCACCGTATCACGACCAGCGAATAACCTCAGCTGTTTCTGTGGGAATTTACGTGGTGACCAACGCTGGACGGTCGCACGATGTGCAGCAATTTACGTACACTCCAGATACATGTATGTGAAATGGAAACCTGGGGAAGGAGTGGGCATTGACCTAATCTCATAGTCCATATAGCAAATGTTAGATAATGAGGATCTTTTCAAACTCCTCTTGTGGTTAAGATTTAGTCTGCGAGGAAAGCCAAGTCCTTAGATTTCATTATTCATCTATGTGGCGGGTAGCTTAAAATTCAGCTGCATGGTCAGCATGCTGTCACCAAAATCCATTGACAGGTATCAGTAGCAGCTGTTTTTAAGCATTTCTTCTGTAAGCTTCAAAATGAAGCTGAGTAGGAAAAATATAGGCATCCTACATACAGAACTCAACAGAAAAACAGCACCAGTTTTTGCTGTATGGAGTGAAGTTTCATGACATGTTTTTTGTTGCTTTAGCCATGACAATGTGCAGTGCAATTGCTGACGTCATTTTTGGCTTCTTCATTTTTGGAAGTGAAAGTGATATTGTGGGCACTGCGGTTCCCAATTTTGTGAACTGTGTGTTCACTGCAAAACACTTCTAAAAAGCTTAATTACTTTAAGGTAGAAGTAACTGAGTTTGCTTTAAGGATTTTTTTGTTTGTTTGTTTGCTGTTTTAATATAAGGAAGTTTTCAATGTGTTTTGCCTCAGCAGCTGGTACTCTGAATGTTAATGTGAAGAAGGAAATCTCCAGCCCAGCCCAACATTGTTCTTTTGAAGAGGCTATAAAAGGTACTAAATTGATTCTTATCGTTGTTGTTAATAATTTAACCATAAATTCCCACCCAAATTTTGCAGGAATGAATCAGCCATCCTGAGAAGCTATGTATACACTTATAAAATCTGGCAGTATTCTTACAGTGGGGTTTGTTTTCTAATCCTGAGTATTTCGCTTAGTAACTGTATTCCTTGAAGTATATTGTAACATGAGAAAGAGCAGAGCAAAAACCTCAGCAAAAATAATTTTTAAAGAATTATTTTTGTGCCTCAGAACCAACATTCCAATCTTCATTTAAAACTCTTACAAAGAAGAGGAGAGAAACCTAAGAAGACAGTTGGTACAAAGGATTTAGAAGCTATGTGTGTCAGTTGAAGTTTAAAAAGGAAAAAGGTGGGGAGGAGGTTAGAAGAACAGAGTACTGAAGAGTCCTAACATACTAAATTGGTACTTTTTCTTACAGTTATAATGGTGTGGTAATGTTAGAGACTGAAGCTGTCCAGTGATTTTTATGGCTGCTTTCAGTGGCTCTAGTAAGAAAGCGAAGTCTGGCGTTTTCAGCTTACTTCCTTCAGTGGTGTTTTCTTTCTTGTTATTCTGTCCATGCAAGGTTTGTTGTTTTGTTCCAAGGGAGAATCTTGTAGGCTTGCCTGGTTTTTAACTGAATTGATCCTTTCTATATTGAAATAAAGGAAGGAAATATTTCTTGGTTGTTAAAACTATGGCAGTGTACAAAGGTCAATGGAAATTTCCATAGCCTGCTCTGGTGGAAGCAGATTGAAAGGTAAGCAAATTAACAATGTGATCACAAGTTTGATAGGAATCCATAGCTTCAGGTAAAAATCATGAAGCTCATGTTTAAAGTTAATAGCTATACATTTGGCCTTGACAGGGGATGTATTTACAAGTCGACTTTACAACTTGTTAGGTAGGATAATGCATGATATGATGAGTTTAAACCTGCAGACAGTAATAGGGGAGAAATTTGCAGAAGGGTTTAGGGCAATGAAACAAGCTGATCAAAGGATTGGTAAGACTTCTTAGTGGCTAGATTAAAAAGATAAGGATAATAATAGCCAATGTATCGGGGCAAGCCTGACATCTATCTAATCTAGTACGGAGGCTTAATCAAGATGAGATAGCAGCTGCATCAGGAGAACATTGCTGTTCATATGCACACGTGTGGTTCCTATTGGCTCATATCTTTGTTCATGAGAGAACTTGTCTTATCCTTGTGTGGATTTTCCTCTAGCCTTTTTTTTTTTTTTTTTTTTGACTGTTCATTCCTGTACCTACTCAATCTGTTTTAGGCTGGAGGTGAACCTTAGGTCAGACAACTTTGTCGGCTTTATGTGCTTTGTCTGTACATGTCCCAACTTATCCTTCATTGCTGTTCTGAAATGATAAAGAGCAAGTGGGGACCCAGTGGAACACTGCTTCCTTCCTGTTTGCTTTCATTGGGAACAATATCATAGAATTCACAATACAGGTGCCATCATGTACTGCAGCCTCAGACAAATAGAATAATCTGTTGCTGCCAAGGGTCTGTATGATTACACACTGAACTTTAGGGCCTTTCTGTTCTTATCATGGGCAAATTCAAACTTTGTCTCAGATATCTGTAAATATTTCTTATAAAATGATTGCATCTGTATAAATGAAAAAAACCCAACACATTGCTTCCCAAAACAGCTTCAGATTTTTAGTTTTAAGACTGTAGATTTGAAAGATTTCAAGAGCAAGTCATGTTTCAGAGCAACGTTTAGAATTCTGAACTTGGGAAAGAGGAGTGAGTATGGCTAACCATGTAGTTCAAGTCTCTGCCCAAGGAAATGCACGTCCTTCAAACAGAGGAGTAGTCATCTAGCATTATTTGTGAGTGGTTAAAGATGGTTACAGGTTCCAGTTTCACTGGGAGAAAAGGAAAAGAGGGTGAATTTGCTTTGAAAACATCGTAGCAGTTCAGAAGTTCTAAAATAAGTAACTCACAAAGACATAGTACAAACCAAAACCAACAACAGTTTTCTGCTTTTGAAAACTGTTTTTCATTTTTAATCTCATTTCTTTTTTTCATTTTTCCAACCAAGTACATCACTGTGAACCAGCATACTATTGCTAGTACCTAACCTGTATGCCACTGGAATTTTAATTACTTAAGTGTAAAGTTTTTATTGTTTCCGGATAATGCTACATGATTAAACACGTAAGAGTGAAAACCTTGTTAATTGTGACTACAGTATAGAGAAACACTGACTGCTGGGTATGAGTGGCTGTCCTGAAGCAGGCATGGAGTGGGATTCTTCTGCTCAGATTGCATTCCCTGCCAGCAGCACAGCCCAACACCCCAGGCCACGTGGCCTATGCTTCTGGAGCCATCCCAAATGTGTGGGCTAACAGGAGGGGAGGAGTTTGTTTGGCTGTTGGTACACTGATTTGTGTTGGTATGCTGATGACTGAGAGATATTTGCTTATATGTAGAATAAACATATGAGAACTGTGACATGGGACATGGCATACTGTTGGTATAGATTTGCGAGAACTTTACTGCCATGTTACTGTAAGATTTAAATTTGTTCAGGATATAGAGATTTTTTGTTTTATGTTGAAGATTAATTCTTTAATCTACTTAAAAGTCACTCACAGGTCTGTGGTCTTCACAGATTTTCCCATTGGTTTGTTTTAAGCTCAAATAATTTCAGCAATGTTTTAAATCGGAAAAGCTCAATTCATTTACTGCAAAGATCTCGACCTATGTTATATATATATATATAAATCTGGATTGGAAATAATAAAAGTAAGGAGATCTAATTCATGTCAAGAAGCCAGCTTTCTGTTTCAAAAAGAAAGAAAGGCACTGCAAAGGCAAAATAACAACTTGCTCTTCCTAGAGAGTTGGCATGCAGATTTATCAAGTTTTCACTTGGTTAGTTCTTTAATAGAGCAAAAATACAGTTTGAGTGTTTTGAGTGCTTTGAAGTGAGACACGTTTATCTGAAAAAAACAGGCATTTCTAAAATTCAAATAGAGTACAGTTAAAGTACAGTATGATTTAAATTTTTTGTGGAAAAATGTGTTAAGCTTTTATATTTGCAGTTTAAGATAATTGATGGTTAGCTATCCTGGTCCAGAAAGATACAAATGAAAGAAAACATGAGCAGTTTTACTGTTCCTTAGTATTATTTGATGTATATTTGTAGTGATCTCTGCATTTTGGCATCTTATATGGGGATTTGAGCTCTTGTGGTAGTACTGAGAAGTTAAATGGGAAGCAGGCCAGTGCTAGAAACCTGTGCTTTGTATAGCAAATGTTTACAGTTCATTTTCCTTTTTATTTATGAAAGCCACCAGTTGTAATCTGGAGAAGGTGAATATTCTTCCTAGTGCCTTGATAACTCCACTCATGCCAAGCAGTATGATTAAGAATGAAGATGTGTCTCCAATGGAAGTAAGCGCAGAAAAAAGATCTCCCCCTGTTTTCAAGGTAAGTTTGATTGAGATCTCAAGATAATTGGTTTCATTAATCTTAATTATGTCTAACCATCAGCTAATAGTGCAAAGTGGTGAAGAGTATGCACAGAGAAAATGACGTGTCCAAGATCAGTCTGGCCGTATGATCTCAGGGCACGATTAAAGTAATGGACAATTTCCTTTGAAAGTAACTCTCTCTTGTTCCTGCATTCCTACCTTGGTTGATTAGTGCTCCTATGATGAATGTTCTTTTTGTCCCGTGACACAAAATAAGTAAACCATTACAAGGATATTAATAACTGCTTTCTATTGCTTTCATTGAATTGTGACTTGACTCGTCCTTGAGATAGCATTTCCACCATTTTTTCACTCATTTGCTTGCATAGCTGATTATGTATGTAGAGCCATCGAATATTCCATTGTCTTCCCTGAGCATTATCAATTGGTGGAAATAGTATAAATGTAACTTGGTAAAGCATGTGAATTGCTTAACGTATCACTGCTCTTTTCAGGCTTCAAAAGTAGTTGGACCAACTCAGCAAACATTAGAAAGCAGTATGCCTGGCATATCAACTTCTGCTTCCCATTTACCTTCTGAAAATGAAAAGCAGCAACAAATACAGCCTAAGGTTTATAATCCAGAGACTCTAACTACTATCCAAACGCAGGACATTACCCAGCCTGGTAGCTTTTCATCTGTCTCTACTCCAGGTCAGCTGCAGAACAGTGACACGTTATTGCAGCAAGCTGCACAGTTCCAAACAAGAGATTCCCAAACCAGAGAAGTCTTGCAGTCGGATGGCACAGTAGTCACTTTGTCACAATTAACTGATGCTTCACAACAACAACAATCTACACTACCAGAACCAGCGCAGGCGTTACAGCAACAGATTTCATCGAGTATTTTCTCATCAGCGAGTGGTGTGAGTCAGTTGCAGAACACTATTCAGCAATTGCAGGCTGGAAATTTTCCAACTAACACTGCCACGGGCAGCAGTAGAAATGTAGACTTGGTGCAGCAGGTACTGGAAGCTCAACAACAGTTATCTTCTGTTTTATTTTCTGGGTCTGACAGTAATGAGGATGTTCAAGATCAGCTAAATGCAGATATCTTTCAGCAAGTTAGTCAGATACAAAATAGTGTAAATCCTGGGATATTTTCCTCGTCAGATACAGCTGTCCATTCCAGACCAGAGAACCTTTTGCCTGGAAGAGGTGAAAATGTTCATTCACAGCCTGAAAACACATTGTCCAATCAGCAACAGCAACAACAGCAACAACAGCAGCAACAGGCAATGGAGACTTCTGCAGCAATGGTGATAGGAATCCAGCAAAACATTTGCCAGGCTGCTACACAGATGCAGTCTGATTTGTTCTCTTCAACAACTTCAGGGAACGGAGCCCTCCAGCAGTCACCGGTTTACCAGCAGGCTTCTCATATAATGAGTGGGTTATCAACGAGCGAAGACATGCAAATGCAGTGCGAATTATTCTCTTCATCTCCTGGTGTTTCTGGAAGTGAGACTAATTCTACAGCTCAGCAGCAGGTCTCCAACAATGGACCTACTATATTTCAGGCATCAAGTTCTGCAGATGGAGAGGAAGCTTCAGGACAGAGTAAACAGATGCAAAGTTCTGTATTTCAGACCATGGTTCAAATGCAGCACAGTGGAGAAAGTCAATCTCAAGTTAATCTCTTTTCATCTACCAAAAACATGATGACTGTTCAGCCAAGTGGAGCTCAGCAGCAAGGAGGTGGTCTTTTCCAGCAGGGCGGAGAAATCATGTCTATTCAGCCTGCAAACTTTATGCAGCAATCTCCACACTCACAGGCTCAGCTTTTCCACTCTCAGAATCCTATTGGTGATACTCAGAATATATCACAGGAAACACAAGGCTCCATTTTTCACAGTCCAAATTCCATTGTCCACAACCAGACCAATACTAGCTCGTCAGATCAACTGCAGCCTCCAATGTTCCATTCACAGAGCACCATGGGTGTATTACAGAGCTCTTCAGTTCCTCAAGACCAGCAGTCTGCCAACATGTTCCTTTCCCAGACTTCAATTAGCAACCCAGCAACTCAAGAAGAGCAGATGTCATTCTTTACAAACCCAAGTTCCATTTCTCCTCTTCAGGCAGCAGCAAACAGTGAGCAACCAACTTCTTTCCAACAACAGACACAGATATCTCATATTCAGAGTTCTATGCTTCCCCAGGAACAGCCACAGACTCAGCCTGCTCAGCAAGGTTTGTTTCAGCCTCAAGTACCATTAGCCTCCATCCAGTCCAGTTCAATTCCCCAGAACCAACAAGGAGCTATCTTCCAGCCTCAGCATTCAATAGTTGCTATGCAGAGCAGTCCTCCATCTCAAGAACAGCCACAGCAGCAGCAACAGAACATGATGTTCAGTAATCAAAATGCAATGAGTACAATTGCTTCTCAAAAGCAAAACATGATTTTTAATCCAAACCAAAACCCTGTTACTAATCAGGAACAACAGGGCCAGTCCATTTTTCATCCACAGACTAACATGGCGCCAATAAACCAGGAACAGCAGCCCATGCAATTCCAGAGTCAAACTACAGTGTCTTCTCTACAGAATCCTGGATCCAGCCAGGCTGAAGCACAGCAGCCAGCCATCTTCCATAACTCACCCCAGATTCAGTTGGTCCAAGGGTCACCAAGTTCTCAAGAGCAACAGGTCACCCTCTTCATCTCTTCAGCTTCCATGTCTGCGTTGCAGAACAGTATGAGCCAGCAAGATCTGCAGCAATCTCCAATGTACTCTTCTCAAAACAGCATGGCAGGAATGCAAGGAACTGCTTCTCCTCCACAGCAGCAAGCTTCTTTGTTTCATAACACAGCAGGAGGTGCTATCAACCAGCTGCAGAATTCTCCTGCTTCATCTCAGCAGACTTCAGGAATATTCCTGTTTGGCATTCAAAACAGTAAGTGGTAGATGCCTGACTGTGAGTTTAGAAGAGCTTCTGATGGGAGTCTGCAAGACTTTTATGCACTTTTATTATGTTTAATTAAAAAAAAAAAAAAAAGTAATGTGGCAGTACAGCTGAGTATATTTATTCCTGTTGCTCTGAGCACACACTCACGTTACTTTCTGCAATGCAAGAGTACTCTTAGCTTCACTGTCTGTTGGTTTTCCTACCCTTAGAATTAGCATATGACAGAAACTGCCTACAACACTGTGTGCATCTAGATATATGGTTATAAAATATATATTATTAAGAAGGTGTATAAAAACGTTTTATATATATGTACATATATATATACACACACTGCGAGAAAGAAATATGGTTGTTCTTTTAAAGACAGCTCCACTAATCTTATTCATACTGTATTTGGTTTCTGTGATTTCTGCAATGAGTTTCCACACATTGTTGAAAAAGAAAGATTTTTGAAGCTGTTTAGTTCAGAAAAGCATCCATTGATATATATTTGAAACCCTTTTGAGTTTTTAAGCTTGCAATTTTCTGTATCTCATCTCTGAATCTAGCCTCTATTGTAAGTTCTTTGGGATACAGATCCTTTCATCTGTCCGTAAAGGGTGTGAATACCTATGAAGCTCTAGAAGCAACAGATGCAGACAGTTGATTGTAACATCTTATGAAACATCTGGAGAGAAAGTGATAACCACAGACGAGTTACAGGGCTATACCTAAGTATGTGTCTTGCTGTGTGAACTCTTGCAGACTTCTAGGAAGAGCTAGAGGATACCTTAACTGACCTAAAAAAGACACATCTATAACTTATAAAGACAGGGAGTGGGCACACTTAGTGCTTCTCTTATGTCACACATCTTGTTTTTCTCTGACATCTTAATAGAGTTTGGTCGAAATACAGATTCCATAATTCAGCGTGCACACCTTGAGCCTGTGCATATAATTGTAGGGAGTGGTGAACAAAGGTGATGATGTGAAAACTGCCCATAACATCCTACAGAGTCAATAGGGATATATAGAAAGAAGTTGGCTAATTCATTATATGTATTGATCAAATTGAAAATATCTTATTGTTCTTTACTTAACAGACTGTAGCCAGCTGCTGCCTTCTGGACCAGCTGCACTGCCTGATGAGTTGATGGCTATCAGTCAGCCAGGTCAGCCACAGAGCGAGGGACAAGCAGCAGTGCCAGCGCTTCTCTCCCAGCAGATGCCTGAGACCTCTCCACTACCTTCAGCTATGGCACCCAGTCAGAATATTGAGAAAATCGATGATCTGCTTGTTTCACTGCAAAACCAGGGGAACAATATGACCGGCTCATTTTAGTTAGGTAAGTAAGTAGTGTGTTTGTGTTTCTGGGTTCTTTCCTTCTGTTCATACTTCTATTCAGCAAGTTTTTCGTTGGAGTGTATCCCCATGCTTCAGGGGGTCAGCTAAGGTATCAGTAATGATGAATTAAGAATACAGTATCAGTAGGTAGAACAGAAAGTTATTTAAAATAGTTCAAGGTCAGTATTTCTGTGAAACAGTTGGCTGAGTTTTGTTGTTTGACTGCTGTGTATTTTGTCATCTGTTTTTATAGTGTAGTACTTCAGTAGGAAGGAGTGAGTGGATCACTGACAGCTTGGCAGGCAAACGTTATGGAATATGGCTGTAGCTAAAAGCGTATGGCTTACTGGGTAAATAACAGCTCAAGTCTGTAGTATTCCGAAGTTGGGCCTCTGAGTTACAATACTGAAACGTGACATCAAGTTTCTGAAGACTTCTGAAGTGACGGGTATTGAGTGTGTCTTGTGGCGAGTCTTAAAAATGAGATCACAGGATTAGCAGTGACCAGGAAACATTCTGCTCTTAGAAAATGCCTTTTCTAGAGAGGTGAAAGAGCCTTTGGCTGCGCCGAGAACAAAAGGACTCCAGAATCTGACATTATCCACAGTATATTACTTGGCTTTAGAAAATTGAGTTGCCATCCTAAATTCCACCAAGTTTCACTGAAGTGAAATTGTTTTGAATGAAATTATGAACTTGAGTTGAAGGAAGGCAATCCTGCTGTATGAAGGAGTGTGCAATTCTGATATTTGCTTGTAGTTTGATGTCTGCTTGTAAAGGACTTTCAAGATGAGATGAAGGAACTGTGTAGAAGTAGAAAGGTGACTTCTGTTATGTCTAACTTTTTTTTGCTTGCTTTTTTTTCTGCAGAAATTCTGAGAAGAAAGAGGTGATGACTTCCCGGATCCTCTCAGACCTTGTGACTCTGGATTAGGCAGCGTGGAACTGATTGCTTCTGTCAAAAAGTGGCCCTCTTTTCTAAAGAGCACATATGTGGCCAGTTGCAGTGTCTAGCACCTAAGGCTATGACTGTATTATTTGAGATTCAAGATTCATAGTGCCAATAATGCTGAAAAGCTATGCTTTGTTTTACAAGGGCGTAGGATTGTACTGTTACCTGTCTCCTAATGCCCGCTGAGAGTGGCGTGCTCTTTGAATTTAAAGCATATCTGGTCAGTTATTATTGTCGTTAGAAGGTAATACATACTACCGTGTTTACTTTATTTTTTCCCCTTCTCTTCCTTCTTTACATCCCCTCTTTTGACTAGAAAAGCTAGTGAAGCAGAAACATCAAATACCCGTGACGTAAATCATGACTCGTAGCTGTCAGTAAGTGAAAGGACTGGATGTTTTACAGTTAAGTGGGAGAGCTAATAATCTGATTTATTGATTGCAGTAGGGGGCAATGAAAATATTGACACATATAACAAATGAGCAGAGAATTGCTTGCTGCTGTAGTTGACCTGACAGAGGTGTGTGCTTCCCATCTAAGAACGTGATTAACGGTTAGCTGTGTCTCTTACATGTAACTGTAAATAGAGCAAGGGTTTGGTGGCTCTAACAAATTGAAGAAACAGAGAGGAGCTTTCAATTAAATTATGCTCTAAAAATCTTAGCCTCTTAAATACCTTCAACTTGAAAAGAACATTCTGCCTGGCTGATGAAACAACTCCTTTTGGTCTCCCATGCTGACTGTGTGGGTCAGAACTAGTTGAAGCTGCATTTCTCATTCTCAAACTCGTTTTTTCCTTTTTGTTCTTTTTATGTTTTTCCTTCTCTCTTCCTCAGTTTTGTATTATGTGTTTGGGAGTGTTAGAAAGATCAGAAGCAGCTTTTAGGAGTCCATGGCACCAATTCTTGTGCTGTTCAAATGCTTGGTCAAACAGGCTCTGAGAAGTAAAGATTAAGGAAAGAGGAAGCAATTTTTCTGCATCCCTTCAAATGTGGGAATCCCCCTTCACCAGTTGCTTACAACAGCAACAACTGGAAAATCTTCTGTTTGACTTTACTCCAAATGGGGGGAAATTAAATAGTTTTTACACATTATTGAAAATTTCACTTTACCTGAGCTGTTGCATCTTTGTAGCTCACTGCAAATTTAAAGTGTTATTTTCCTTCTGACAGTCCCCTAGGCACAGCTTCTAGATTGTCCGACATCGACTCGTTACAGAATGTAAAGCCAACCCACTCCAAACCATGCAGTTGTGTTGTGAGGCATGTGAATTTTTGGGTGCTCCAACTGTCCAGAAGGTTTTGTGATATCTCACTACAGCCTCATTCGGATATTTGTTTCTTCTCTTTCTGCACGTAGAAAGCTGTTAATGCAGTTAGAGCCAAACAGCTGTCATGTATGGCTATTATGCCTCGGTATAGTGTAGTTGATATCATGTCATATTTCATTTTTGTTATTTTAAATAACAAAGAATAGTCTGTAAATGGTTTTTAAGTTACTTTAGTCTGTTTACTGTGTTTTTCCCTAACTTGTGTGCTTAGTTGAGCCGTGTAGAGTTTTTGTTTGTTTTAATGGTTTTTCCTGTTTGTCGGTCTGTCATAACGTTCATTTTTCTCTTTCTGTCTCTCTTTCTCTCTCTCATTGAGAGGCATTGAATTACGTTTTCAGTAGTAAGGCTTCTTGCCGATATGAAGGGAACTTTTCAGAAAGAGACCTGCTCTGGGTCATTTAATTTTGAATACAGTTTTCAATCGTTCAAGTTTTGGATGGTTTATATCTAATGTGTGTTTCATTTTTTTGGAAAGCTATATTTTGTATTTAGGAAATGGTATACTATTTTGCTATTTGTACTGAGTGAGTACATTGGCATAAATATAAAAATTTATATATATACATATATATAAAATATTCTTTTTGCCACACATTTTTGTGGTAAATTTGTGAGTTTGTCTGATGTTCTACCACAACGTGGCGTCTGATAACAGTGGGTGGGGTGGGGTTTGTTATGTCTTTATTGAGTATTTAAGTACTTTTTGCAACATAAATAACTTGTTCATCTCTCGCCATTCCATCAGGCAATGTATTGTTCCAGCTGGCTATGAGAAGCTTCACCGTGTGTGTTGGTGTCTGTCACTCAGCAGTTCAATCTAGTACAGAAACCCATAGGCATTTAGGTGTAGAGCGGATAACGGGGTTTCATTCAGAATGAGCCATTCAGCTTTTATCCTCTATCATTGTCTATTTAATATTTTATTATTAGTGCCTCTATGTTTTAACTTTTAATTTATGATTACGCTAAAATGTTTAAAATTTTAATCACGATAAAAAGAATTCCCTGCTTCGTACTGTCCAGAGCTGCTTTATAACCCTGAACCATACTTTTTCTTCCTGTGATTTATATATATATTTTTTTCTGCTAAGAGCAAATATTAATAAAACCCTGTTATGGTTCATGACATGAAAATAGCAACCTCGCAGAACTAAATGCTAGTTGAGGATGCGTAGACGACTGAGAATTGTGGACCGAAACAGCTTCCAGATGGTTGTGAAAGTCGATAGCCAGTTACCTCCAGATGAGCTGGTGGCTTTGCAGGATCCCAGTCCCAGGACAAACTGTCGGGTGTCATCTGGGGCCTTCATACACAGAAGAAGTAATAGGAATGACACATTCACTTGTATGCTGCTTCAGTTTGTTCCATTGTTTTAAAGGGTGTATCCTTTTGTTGAAGTGGTGTTGGTCAGTGCCAAGTCACCAGGGACCAATTTTCCAATTAAGAAGTTGGGTGTCCAAAAGAGAACTTTATACCAAGACTGCTACAGCTCCAGGGGAAGGGTATGTTTGAACTGTGTGCATATTTTTAGGTGGCTTATTTAAAAAGAAAAAAGAAAAAGAGGGAAAAAAAAAAAAGGGCTGTGCTATCACATTTTTCACTTTTGGATAACACCTTTCATTTATTGTGTTTAAATTTATCTCATTTCATTTTAGGTCAATGTTTAAATGTACAACACTTTGAACATGTGATTTGGTTACAAAAGCTATTTGTCTTATGAAGGAAAAGATTGCTCAGTGGTTGATTAGTGCTGGAAATGCTGCTTGCAAACAGCTGTAACGAGGGCTTTGATAAGCCAACAACGAGCTTAATGGCAGCCTGCAGGATTCCATGGCAGAAAGAGACGAGCAGTGTGAGCTGCATCGGTGTGTATCAGAGTCCTGAACATTAGTGACAACCAGTTGATATTGATAATTGGAGCTTATTCTGCATTTTTAATCTCTTTGTCTACTCCTCTGCATGTTGATGCTGGTGTGCCTGTTAGATTGAGGGCAGGTGGACGCTTGCTGGCATGGAGCTGAGAGGTAGTGGTATCACATCTAATTCATTTTGCTGGAGAAAGTTGGAAGATACTGAGACATTTAGTCTGAACATTTGAAGTTCCTAGCATTATTGTAAAAAAAGAAAAGAAAAAAAAAACCCACTATCATACACAAGGCAGCAGTTAAATGCAAGAAATGTTACTCGGTGGAAAGTGAAAAAACAGAGCTGTGTTACTCTGATGGGTTTTCTCTGTGTTTGTTTGCTGCTTGAGCTCTCTCTGAAGCCATCTGAGTCTCCGTCCTAAACGTGGGCCGTTCCTCCAGTTGTAGATGCCTCTCTGTCTGCCCAGTGCCTATGTGCCTGATGGTTTAGAGAACAGAGAATTATTGGCACAAATAAAAAGCTACAGAGGTGTATCTGCTAACCACCAGCCTTGGGTTTGTGTCTGCCTATACTTTGTTTTACAAGAAAAAAGAAACAACAAACAAAACGTTGTATGAATAGCATAATACACAAAGTAATGAGCTGACGTCTCCTGGCAGGAAGTTATTGGTGCTTTGTGCTCCGTTAGCAACTCCACCTTTTTTAAATTAAAATCACCTCTTTGCTGCTTACTCTTCCAGCAGTTTATGAAGCCCAGTGCTTTGCTATTTAACATCAAAATAGCTGAAGAAACAATTCCAACCTTACTGCTTCCAAGTAGAGGTTTAATCACCAGCTGTTCCATTGTGTGTGTATATATGTATATTACTTTTTTAAATCATGGACAGTAATTCAGTTTTAAGATAGAATGAAGCATCAATAAACTTTTGTAAATTGAGCAGGCTTTTTAATGATCTGGAAACGCTGAGCACCTGGCAGCTGCATTGATGGGTATTGCCCTGGTTTTAGGTAATGGGATCAAAAGGAAAGATTGGTGATATAATTTATGATGTAGTTTCTAAAAATAAAACTCAACAGATTTTTCATTCATTTCTAGAGTCTTCAGAAAGAATACCAAACAAGTGGGAAGCTTGTGTTTGACTTGAAAGAAATTTTAAATTGCAGGTTGAGTAGGATTTTGGCTTATTTAAAATCAAAATCAGAAGTTTTTATGACTAAAGCTAAGCATAGTTCCTGCCAAACGTGTGCAGGCATGCATGTTCACTGAGAGTTGGTAAGGGCTTTCCTGTCAGTTTTTCAATCTCACGCATCCGTATGATGTTGGTTTATTTTTTCAGAGTTACTACAGGAGAAGAGTGCTAAGGATTGCAGCCACATACCTGAGCGATAGAAGCGAGAGGGAGGAGAATGCATTGCTTTGCATGCGCTCAACCGAGAGCTGTAGGTAGAAGGTGTTCATTTGTTTTGGGGGTTGTCTCTTTAATTTGGAGTAGTTTTTTGGGATAGATTGAGAGTGCTTCATGTTCACGTTCAGACCGATTTCACTGGCTGTGAATGGCAGCAGTCAGCTGAGGCGTTACACAGGAGAGGCTTTTCCTTTCATACAGTCAGTGTAGGTGTGTAAATTGGCAATGCCTGTATATTCTAGGACCGTATATATGTATATAGTGGAGTCGTATATATATTATAAATAGTCAGTAGATGTGTGGAGTACTGCTATATTTACATCTTTATTACCTTGAAATTATATTCATTTTTTCATTTCCTGAGGTTTTCCAGCAGCTCGCTGGTAGCTGTAGAGCACCTTTCAGTACTGTGGCACTGTTAGTAGCGTTGCTTCAGAAGCCGTCTCTGCTTTTGAAGATCATTCATGTCTGTGGGGTTAAAGTGGCTGTTGAAATCAGCTATACAGTTTTGTATTTTTGTATATTTTTATTAATAGTTGCAAATGTGGTGTGAACCGACAGCAGTGTCAGGTCAGCCCACAGGACGGGCGCTGCGGCAGCGCACGCTTTCTGCACCCGTGTGTCCTCTGTGTGCTCGTGTGCTCTCCTGGAGCAGCTCTGCCAGAGCTGCGTCAGCGCTGCTTCCTGTCTGTGCCTCCGAGCAGCTCCTGCAGGCACGGAGCAGTGGTTTGTGTGCTCACTGAGCTGACACCAGCAGTGTTCTTACGGTGTGGTTACGAATCTTTGCCTAACAAGGGATATCGGCAGCTGCTCAGCTTGGGTTGCGGTTGGGTCACAGTGCTGAGGCTTAGTCTGTAGGCGTTCCTCTTCTCTTTGCTCCGATTCTTGCACGTAAGGGGAGCATCTCTAAACTTGTTTTTATTTTTGAAGTAGTTGCTATCTGGAGCGCTGTCTTCACAGAGCCCTGTGAAAGCTTTCCCCAGTTCCTCCCCGTGGGGAATTCTGTTCCGACCCGTGCCAATTTCCTGCAGGTTGTCTGAGAAGTTGAGCTCCCTAAAAGGAAACCCAGATTGTAAATTCAGCAGCGTGTGCTTTATCCACCATGACTCCTCATGCCAAATCTGATGGACTCCCCTTCAGTTTGGCATGAGGTTGATCAGTAGGCATTGTTGTCCTGGTGCAGGTGTTGTCAAAGCATCTCTGCTAAACTGAAAGTAGCATCCTCATTTCTTTTCTCTGAGATGATTTCTACTGCTTCTGGAGATGGAGATCTGTAGCTTTTGCTATCACAATTGATGAAATTGCTCATAACATATCAATGTACTGGGACGAGGTGAGGAACAAGAGGATTTCACTGCCTCTTGAGGGATACTCACCGAAATTCTTTGCAAGCGCTCAATTTAGCCTCCAAAATTTCAGTACCTGGCCCACTGAAAATGTTGTGTGCACTTGTTGTAATTCAGATGAGGAAAGGGTCCCATGTTCAGAGGATGAAAATTGCCTTATCTTCCCTTAGTCTGCGAAGCTGCCCCCCGTAAGCTGGTGAGGATCTGCCCTGTGCCCCTGGCCTAGGCTGCCAAGCAGCATTGCTGTGCCCTGCTGCCCCCAGGCACTGCCTCCCCCCAGAAATGGTGGAACTGGAGACAAGTTCCAGTGTCCCACGTAAAAGCCCACAGCATTGCTGAAGCTTTTTAATTTTGAACACTATTTCAAATGAGGCAACTCCACGTTTTTACTAAAGCTCATTGTTGATGAGTAAGCTCCAAAGTCGTTCAGATCAGAGCATTCTACCTCTGTTAACACCTGCGTCAATCTTGTGGTGCCGCTGCCTTTTCTGCCATGTTTTCCTGCAGTGCACTGATCAACCGCTGAGCTGCCTTTTCCCTTGTCCTGCAATGTGAAAGTAGCACCAGATATTCCCTGTGCATTTCTGTGTATATGGCTTTCGTAGATGGGATTTTCAAAGCACTGATCCCCAGTGCTTTCGGTTTGTTCTATGAGGGGGATATTTCATTTGCATCTATGTTTTTAGCTATCCTGTGATAACTTGTTGAATATTAAAAAATAAAAATATTTTGCTTCTATTGGGACATTTGTATACTCGCAACTATATTTCTGTAAACAGCTGCAGTCAAGAATAAAACAATGAAAGTTTTCATTTTGCAGTGTAAAGTCCTGTTGTGGTTCTTTTCAAGGACACCTCTCTGCTGGGGAGAAAAAAAGTGGCTGTCTGGAAAGACAGAAGTGCATGGGTTTGTGCCTTTGGTGCATCCCTTATGCTGTTCCATAGGAAGAGGCACTCTGTCATGCATACACTCGGGGGGGAAGGGGGGAGAGGGGAAGAGAATTCCAATGTTTCTTTTTTATTATGTGGTCTTAGGTCCAAAGTCACTTACGTTGCTTACTACCCAACCCCCAGCTTTGAGTTACGGAGCTTTCAGGGAGGTAATTCATGATTTGCCTGAGGTGAGATTCCCTCTGTGGTCTCCCAAAGCCCCATCCCTGGGCTCTCCTGTGGGGCCGGCAGTGGATTCACCCTGCTCAGCTTGGTCAGAGCTGGCAGCAAGGCTGAGGTCTGGGATCTGCCTTGTGCTCAGCTGGATGCAAAGAGCTGTAATGAATAGACTAGCGAGTGCAATCAACTAATGTAACTGAAAGTATGTCTTGGTAAACGTGGCTGCATTCTTAGGGGTAAGCTTGATCAAGATGATACTTTGTGGGAAAGGCAGTGCATGGTCTGAGGTGGTTCGTTGTTGGAATTTTCAGATGGATGTGCAAGCTGGAGAAATAATGGGGATACAACTTGGCAGAAGACAGCTTGTGCAGAGAGTTGCTCCAGAGCATGGTAATATGGGCTTTGTGCATCTCCAGGATGGGGAAAACTACAACAGAGGTAAGAAACAAAAACGTTAAACTTACCCTGACAGCTTACCCTGACAGAATGCATTGCTGTATGATACTAGAGCAGAGATCAGACCCTTGAACTATGTTGAATCATGACAAGAGGAAACGTGGCACCGGTTTGCTTGTGGGAGGAAGGGGCGTGTGTTGGTGTGCATTGCTGTGTAGACGTTCAGTTTCCTGTTAGCATTTCTTTTCAATGATGCATCCAAGTCCCAGCTCCTTGCTATGTCCTCAGCATCCCAGAGCCTGTCCCCTGAGAGCTGTGTCACCGTCACGGTCCCGTCCCCCTCAGCTTCTGAGTGGGTGAGAAAAGGGAGCAGAGGAAATCCTTCCTGCAGGGAAGGGCCAGCCTCACTCTCCCTGTGAGCTCAGTCCCATGCAGAGTTGATGTTGATAATCCGATACACACCGCTATGGATGGAGTCCCCCAGCTCAGGCCTCCCACCCCCTGCCCCACATGGCTTAGCCAGCACTATGCTTCTTTGCAGTGATGGCTGCTGCCTCAGAGAGGCCCTCAGATCCCTTTCTTTTAATTTCAATCCAGACTCCTCAGCTCAAATACTGCTCCAGTACATGGCCCATTCCATGGCTGCATGTGCAGGAGGTGAGGGATAGGATGCTGAGGCTTCCCAGGACACGATGGGACCTGGAAATCAGGGACCTGGAAATCAGGGACCTGGAAATCAGGGACCTGGAAATCAGGGACCTGGAAATCAGGGCTGTGTCAGTCCCTGAGGCTGTGGCCTTGGCTGCAGTGGGGCTGCCTGGTGTCAGTGGTCCCCAGGGTTCCTGCCCAGCTTCAGGGGTGGGCATGGGGCAGCCCCCCAGCTGCACAGCAGAGCTGGGCTTGGGTCTGTACTGCTTGATGGGGGCAGAGAAGAGCACACCACCACCAGGTTCTGGATCTCAATGTATTGTTGCATTCACCTGGGTCTCAACCACAGGCCCTGCCCTTGTGCCCCGAAGGCCACGATTTTGAATAAAATTGTGCAGAAAAATGTCAGGAAAGAGAACACAGAAGAACAAGAGCGTGAGGGTGTGGGGACTGCCCTGCGGCCGCCTCACGCGGTGCTGTGAGGCCAGGCCTGGGTCTCAGTGCGGGCGCAGGGCCTGGCTGCTACTCCTGGGCCTGGAGCTGCTCGTTGAGGGGCACGGCCTTGCCCAGGTGCTGCCCCACCGACAGGCCATGCTGCTGCCCCTCCTGCTGCGCCAGCACCTCACGCTTCAGAACGAAGCCACCGGCTGGGCTCAACTCGAAGCAGCTGTTGGGGACGAAGCTGAGGGGCTTCTCCTGCTCCACGGCTGCCAGGCGGTTCTTCCACGCGCTCAGCATTTGTGCCCGCGCTTCAGGGCTCACGTAGCGCACGCTGTAGCAAATCTGGGGTGCCAGCACCTGGAAGCCACAGAAGTGCAGAGCCCCCCGCTGCCTCCGGGGTGGGAGGAGCTGTCAGCACAGCGCCCCTGGTACCACGTTGTCCCCAGCCCTGTCCGTACTACCTGCATGGGCCAGAGCAACACGTTCATGTCGCCGTTGATGCCGCTGGGGCTGTACATGGAGCCCATCCCGCCGGTGGTGAGTGACAGCATGGCTTTCTTCTTCTGAGGATGGGAAGGGGGAAGGCAGGGGCTGCAGGGCCAGCATGTGGTCTCCCGCAGCCCCGAGGCCTACCTGGAAGGGCCCCTGGTCGTACATGCTGGTCATGGAATAGGCAAAGCCGTCGGTGAAAACGCGGTCGAACCAGCCCTTGAGGATGGCTGGCATCCCAAACCACTGCAGTGGGAACTGCGGGCACGGGTGGGTCAGGCAGTGAGTGCTGCTGCTCTTGCCAGCCCCTGAAACAGCCCCTCCAAAACCAGCCACTCCCCACAGACTCCCCCTCAGCCCTTGCAATGAAGACTGCACCGCAGTCTTGCCTGGAAGATAATCAGGTCGGCTGCTTCAATCTTCTTCTGCTCGGTGACAATGTCGCTGCTGAGGCGTCCCTCCTTCCACGCATGTGCCATCTCCATCTCGTAGACAAAGTGCTCGGGGTTCTTGGGGGGCCCTGCAGGGAGGGTGGGGGCTCAGGAAGGAACAAGTTGGGGGGTTAGTGGGGATGATGGCTGCACTCGTACCGGTCATGTCGTGCCGTGAGAGCACGGCATTGAACCCGATGGCATAGAGGTCGGAGATGGTGACTTCCCAGCCCTTGTCCCGCAGCGCGCTGCTGGCTGCTGCTGCCATGGCGTGGTTGAAAGAGGTTTTCTCGGGGTGCGCCAGCACGATGAGCGCCTTGCGGCCTGTGGGCAGGGTGCTGCTCAGTGGCATCGGGGCCAACGGACCCACGTGGCTGTACCTGGGAGTTCACACTGCCCTGCGGAGCCCCGTGGATGCCACAAGGACCCCCTTACAGTTGCCCCCCAAACCAATCCCTACCAGCACCTCGCCCCAGGCAATCCGTGCCAGGAGCTGCAACTCCATGGCCACGTGAACCCACTAAGGCAGCAGTTAGTGGCGCAGTTACCATCTGCTGCAGATCGGTGCTGCAGAGAGGGAAGCACAGCTGGAGCCAGTAGCATCGAGGCCCTGGTGCCGCTCACTGGCCCCGGGCAAGATCTGCCCGTACCGGTGCTGACCTACCTGCCATTGCCGGCGCGGTTCGGCTTCCAGGAGGGGAACTGGAGCGAGGCCGGAGCACCGCTCGCGGTGGCTGAACGCTGGCTGAACTTTGCTCGAGGCAGGGCCTGCTGAGACCCGGGGGGCCGGCCGAGAGGCGGAGCGTTCAGTACCGACACTCATTCGTGCCGCCCCGCTGCTCGCACGCGAGATTCCAGGCCCGTAGCGTGTCCGCAGCCGCGTCCCTGCCAGCACACATTGCCTGGGGCATCACTCGCTGCCCTCGGGGAGCTACGCCCCTCCCCTCCCCCCCCCATTCTGCTTTCTTCCCCCTGGGAGCCACAAGCCCCCTGTATTAGTGTCATGGGTCTGCCGTGGTGGGAGCCAAGGGCTGTCACTTGCACGGGGCTTCCCAGGGTTGTGCACCCAGACCCCTGACCTCCCCTTCCTCTTATGAGCACGTACGCTGCCTCACATCCAGCAGCATGTAGCTGCAGGAGCAGCCATGCAGTGCAGGTGAGGTGGTTTGTGTTGCTGTGCAGGCACTGATGGTCACAGAGCCCCCAGCAAGGGCTAGGCTGGCCACAACATCCGCAATTCGTATTTGCTTGTCAGGGAGTGCCCTGATAGAAATTGTCCCAGGGTGCTGCTGGTGGACTGCAGCCCAACAGCCCTGCTTTCCCTTCAATGGTAAAAAGACTGAGTCATGGTGGTGTAGCGTTTCGTGTTTATTTGCAATGCAGTCATTGAACATGGCATCCTTGGAAATAAACAGGAATGCCAATACCCCACTAGGAGTATAGCCAGGACCTTCTATGTGTGCTGGGTCTGGCAGGCAGTCAGGGTTAGTGCCTCACACACCCAGAGCCCTTGCTGCTGCCTGCCCCACTGACACCTGAAGAAGACCAGAAGGAAAGGCTGGGTGCTGGCACTGCAGGCATCTCACCCTCCTGCTGTCACCAGGTGCCATGCAGTGCCCAGGCAGCCCACCTTTCCCTTTCCCTCACAACTGCACCACCAAAGGCCCCGAACTGCCTTTCATCTTCTCTTCACAAACTTCTTTGTCACAGCGTTGGGGTTCAGGCGCCTCCTACCAGCGCCCAGTGCCATGTCCCGGATTTGCAGGTTGGCTGCACGACTGTAGATATCATTTTCTGCAAAGGGAGAGACCCCTGCGATGTAGTCGGGGTCAAAGACGTTGGTCTTCTGCCTGGCCTTGCGGGATAGCCGCTGCTGTGGGAAGGGCTGATCCTCCACCAGGTGCGGGTTGTTGGCGTGCTTCCCTCCCTGTGGTGCTGGCAGCGGGTACTGCCCAAAGAAAAGACTGTTAAACCTCTGGGATAACTCTTGGTTAGAGGACCTTCACAGTGACTGCTGGTTCATAGAGAACTCAGCAAAAGAAGCCCGAGAGTCCCTGCAGTAAGTGGAACATCCAGAAGGCAACCACGGCTCTACCTGGCCCAGCCCATGCAGCAACTCACCCTGAGTCCCCGTGGGTTCAGCACCTTGGGGTTGCGGGAGAAGTGCATGTGGAGGCTCCCATCCTCACTGACACTCACTGCAACTTTCTTCAGTGTCTTGTTACCGCAGTGAGGGCAGAAGACCTTGGTCATGTCTGAAGTTGTCCTGTGCGAGACAGAGATGGAGGGGATTTACTGCTCCCTGCCTGGGCTGCAGAGCAGAGGCCCAGCCCAGGAGTGGGATTACTGCCCAGCCTCAGAGACTGCCCCTTGCTCTGGTGGTGCTGTGCCCGCACCTGAAGCAGCCATGGCAGCGCAGGATGTGGCTCCGGGCCTGACGGATCAGCATGCCATTCACTGCCAGCACGTGGAGGCCCATCTGCAGCAGCACATTCTGCCATAAGGGGGAAAAAGCAAGATGCCATGAGCCCAGCAGCTCCACCCAGGTTTGCCTGCCTGGGTAGCAAGAGGCCAAAGGCAGCAAAGCCAATGGGCTCTATGTAGGCCTCTGCTGTGGGCAGAACTGGCAGCTTCGAACACAAAAGAAGGCACCGCAGGGTGACTTTTGTATGATACGAGTGTGGGATCAACCGAGCTGGGGGCTGGAGCCAGTGCCATGCGAGGCAGCGCTCACCTGCATGGAGAAGTCTGTGGTGACACAGCCGACCTGCACGTCAGCAGGCACAGTGTCGCAGTGCCCTGTGTCCTGCTGGACCTGCTTGAGGTTGCTTGGCGTTATCCAGCCCTCGCTGTCATCATCACTCTCCTCCTCCTCATCCTCTTCCTCCTCAGCACCATCCCCATCCTCTGAGCTCTGGCACTCATCGGTGGCCACTGGGCTGCTGGAGATGCTCTGTGTTTTCTGCAGAGATGGGCAGTTGGTTCTGTGTATGCCAAGGAGCCGGGATGCAGGGCAGTGAGCACAGCAGCCTCACCAACATCTCCTGGAGCTCATCCTCGATGCTGGGCAGGGGCGGCCTCCAGTAGAGGAAGGAGCCGAACTCAGCGCTGTCGAGCAGCTCCGTGCTGCTGTCGGGGCTGTGCTGCTGCTGCTGGCCCTTCCGCGGGCGCTTGTGCTAGGGGACACATAGCAGCCCCTGCCTCCACATCCCCATTCCTTTCACCCCCCACACCCCCTCTTTGTCCCCATCACACCCCATACCTTGGCAGGCAGGTGGAAGCCGGCGAGGTGCAGCGTGGCCTCGGGGTGCCGCGGGCTGGAGCTGAGCCGCACCTGTGGGCAGCGCCGGGCTCAGCCGTGCCCGCAGCCCACCCCCACGCCCCAGCCCGCCCTTACCTTGTCCGGGGGCTGCAGACGGACGCTGCCCGGCCCCGCGGTCTCGGCCTGCAGCTGGCAGGTGAGCGCCAACACCTGCAGATCGGCGGCCGACAGGCTGGGGAAGTCCCCGGTGCGCTTGGCGAATTCGGTGACTGCGGGCACGGGGGAGAGGAGCCCGTTACCCCCACAGCCGCACGCGGCCCCGCCGCCCCCACCCGCACTCACCCGTCCGCACGAAGTCGGCCCGCGGGCGGCGGAGCTGCAGCTCGTAGGGCAGCGCGGCCAGGCGCCGTCGCGCCCGCCGGTCCCGGATCTCGGCCAGCACCTCGGGCACGGTGTACACGTTCTGCGCCACGTCCTGCGGGCGGACCGCGGGTCAGCCCGGCCCGGAGCCTCCCCCCATCCCGGAGCCCTCGGTCCGCACCTGCAGCGCCGCTCCGCTCAGAAACGCGCCGGCGTCGGCCACGACATGCGGTACCCGCGCCATGCCGCCCCGTGTCCCTTCCCGCACCCCGTAGCGCCGCGCGGGGCCCGACGGGAGCGGCGCCGTGGAGCACTTCCGGGCGGTGCGGTCAGGTGCGCGCGGGGTCACGTGACGGCGGCGCTGCAGCCGGAAGCGGGAACGCAGCGGCTGCCGGTGAGGCGGGTGGGGGCCGGACGGTGCAGAGCGGCGCGGTCTGGCGGTGGGTTCTGGCGGACGCTGAGCGCGGGGAGCCGTTCCGCTCCTCTCCGCTTTACCGGCGGCGGCTGCCGGCCCCCAGAGGGGAAGCCCGGTGGGGCGGCCCGGGGCACCGGCTGTGGGACGGGCCGGGGCCGAGGCCTGGAAGGGGCGGCGGGCCTGTGGGTGTGGGGAGCCGCGGCGCCGGCAGCGTTGGCTGAGGAGGCGGCGCCGGGGCTCGGCCCGGAGTCCGGGAGCTCCCCCTCCCCTCGGCGGCACCGCTGGGCCGGGGGCTCCGGGCGCTGGTACGGCACCCAGAGACCGCGCGCGCTCTGTGAGGATTCCCGACCCCCCCCCCCCCGGCCTCGGGCTGAGCGCAGCGTTGCGGCTCTGCTGGGGCGCGGGGGAAGCAGAGGGCACCGGGTGTCCCCACGCTGCTGCGCTGTGAGGTGAAGTGAGAATCAGGGGATGAGAAAGCGGGCAGAAGGGGGGCGGGGTTCGCAGCCGCCACCGGCGAGGAGCCGCGCCAACGCAGCCGTGTTCCCACCGTCCCGTGTCGGGCGGTGCTGGCGCTCCTGCAGTGCGGGACGCGCAGTGACTGCACTGGGGTGACTGACGCTGCGGCTCTGTAGGTCACGGCGGGAGAGCGGAGGGCTGCGTGTGTGTGTGGGGAGGGTTTGGAATGAGTGCAGTGAGTGATGAATCCCTGCCGGATCAGCTTCCCCAGCAAAGCCTGGGGCTGTGTCTGTGTGGGATGGCTGCAGAGGGGTGAAACGGTGCCTGAAGTCTGAGGGAGAAGCAGGGGGCTCCAGGTCCCGGCGTGGTGGTTTTGGGGTGTGGGTCGCTGCTGGTGGCACAAGAAGTGCCCTGGGGAAGAGCTCACTACTCTGTCCTGCACAGGGCTTGGTTGTGGGCTGGCCACGTTCTGTGGGCCTTCTGTGGGCTGGGGCTAATGTTTCTAATGAAGTGTGTGGTGGTGTGGAGCTTGGGAGTCAACCAGCAATATCCTGGGGGGTGATCTGGGAATTGGAGGTGGAATAACTTGTAATAGCAAGGCAATCTGTCTTGGATAAGACATCAGACTGTAAGCTGGCTCCCAACTGCCAGGGTGGATGAAGGGGCATCTTGCCAGCCCCCCACCTGGTCTCATGTAGCCCAGCAGTGTGTTCCTGGCAAGGCTGTGCAAGGCTCCTAGGCTCAGCCTTGTGCCAGGCTGGTACCAGGACGGGTGTGGGGAACTCGTCTTGTGGGAGGGATTAAAAAGGAGCTAGCAGAGGTTGAGACAGGGCCCTGTGAGAGCAGTGTGATACCATAGCTGACTGTTGCACCTCGTGCTCCTGCATGATCCCTGACCCTGAGATTTTCCTTCATGGTCAGGCATCTCAGGAGAAAAGCTGCTGCCTCTGCCATGTGGGCCACAACTCCAGGGGAAAGCTGGGGCAGAGAGAGGGGAGAGGGAAGTGCTGTGGTCGCTGTCAGCGATGCAGTGCCCCAGAGTGAGGAAGTGGTGAGTGCCTGGGAAGGTGCAGGCTGTGTTGGGGTCTGGCCCTGTGGTTGGAGCAGCTGCAGTTCCCCTCCCCACTGAACTGCAGCTCCGCAGCGTCCTAGAGTAGAGGGGACCGATTTTTTTCCACGGTATTTTGCTGCCTGGAAGCCACTTGGGCTATCCTTGAGGGACGTGCAGCTTCACTGTGCTGTGAGCAGACCCATCTCATGATGCTGCTGTCTCATCCCTTCCTTTTTCTACGTGCCGTGCCTTGCCCTCACCTGCAGGCTTTAATGCTTGGCAGTGCTGGAGGTTCCTCTGTCCCTATGGCCAGGATCAGCAGAGGCCTTGGGATTGGGGTGAGGTGGAGTTGCTCACAAGACTGCCTGCAGGCTGCTGCCCTGAGTGACTTCATGCTCTTTATGCTGTGTGGAGTGCTGGACACAGGATGTGTTTGGGCCCCAGCTCAGCCTCGGTGCTGAGTCCCCATCTCTCTCTCCCTTCCAGGCCAGGGGTGATGACATGGCCTCTGCGAGCTCCAGCAGGGCCAGGGCAGGGCCACCCTGCGAGAAGTCCCAGCTCTCTGTGAAAGGTGAGTCCTGTGCAGGGCTGGGAGCTGAGCTTTGGGTGCACCGAAGTGGGAGACCTTGGAGTACCTTGGTGGGAAGGGGCCGTGTTCCAGGCTCTGTGGTGCATGCAGCCCTTACCAAGCCTTGGTGCTGGAGGCCTCTGGAAGCAGAGCACTGCCTGTGGGGGGCTCTGCCTCCGCTGGGATGTGGCTCCATGGCTCTGTCAGGGCGGTTTGTGCTGCAGTGGCCACGAGATGGCTCCAGATGCCGGGAGCGGTGTCCCAGCACTGCCCGCAGTCCTCTGGTCCGGGCACAGCTATCTAGAGCGTGGCAATTCTCCCCAGCCAATTGCCTCCTTCCCTTGGCTCCTGCAGAACCCCTGTGTCCCTGGCTTGTCATAGAGCATGGGCTTTCTCATCAGGCTCCTGGGGCTGGGAGCAGCTGAACAGGGATGGTAGGTGTCCGTGGGGTGAAATAGGAGTGGATGAAGCATGACCAGGGCTGTCTTGGCCCAATGCTGTCCCCTCCCAAGAGCATTGGTGGCAGAGATGGGGTGTGCACATGAGGCAATGTCCTCAGGCTGGGGCAGGGTCTGTGGCTGTTGGCCTGCTGCTTGACCTCTGCCTGTCCCACTCAGTGGTGTCCGTGAAGCCCAAGGCCCACAGCCGACAGTCACGGATGAACTGCTTCGTGGAGGTAGCAGGCGATGGGCTGCCCAGCGAGACCAAGAAGACGGGAAAGCAGATGGGGAGCTCTGAGCTGCTGTGGAATGAGATCCTCATCTTGTAAGTCCCTCTAACACTGTGCTGTGGGGCTGGGGCTGTTCCCTGCTCCCACACCTTGCCCTTAGTGGGGATTCATGCAGCTCCATCAGCTAGGGCTGTTTGGATGTCAGAGGGCTTTGTCCCTGCTGAAGATGCTGTGAGTGTCACCAGGAAGGGGATACAGTCTCCTGTCACCCTGCAGCTTTCCCTGCATCCCTTCTGCTCCTTGGCTTGGCAGGCCTGGCACTACCTGCTCCTGAGCAGAGAAAAGGGACGAGGCCATGGTGATGGCCCCTCTCCTGTTCTCCCTTTAGGAACGTCACGGCTCAGAGTCACCTGGACCTGAAGGTGTGGAGCTGCCATACGCTGAGGAATGAGCTGCTGGGCACCGCCTCCGTCAGCCTATGGAACCTGCTCAAAAGTGGTGGGAAATGTATGTCCGTATGGCCTGGCCAGAGCTACTGTGGTCCCTTGGCCTCTGTGCGGAGTCTGTGTCCATGCTGAGGGCCGGGGTCTCCCCACACCACATGGCCCCAGCAGGGAACAAGGCACTGTTGTGTGCTGGGTGCGGGGCCGGCTGTGGCAGCAGCCAGATTTGCGTTAGCCAGGGTGCCAGAGCTGTGTGGAAACACAAACCCTCAGCTATTTGCTGCCATTTGTGGTCACCGGAGTGTGGCTGTGGCAGCAGCTTCTGCATAAAGACACCCATTCAATGCTCAGCCATGGAAGCTGCTGCGCAGGGCTGGAAAAGGCTTACTCTGTCTTTTCCAAGCAAAGCTCTGCTTCTCACAGAACACAGAGCTGGTATGGGGTGGGGAGAGAGAGGCTTCTGCCCTGTGGGGAATGGGGTGTGCTTGGCCTCTGCCAGGCCTGCATGGGGTTGTTCCTTGGCACTGCTACTGCAGGTGACAAAGCCCCAGCAGTGTCCCCACAGTGCTCCTTGGGGCAGGCATGCCCTGTGCCCCTGGGGGCCTTGACATCGCTGCATCCTTGCTTGGCACGCTTGGGGAGCTCATTTGCTGCAGTCGTGCTGTAAAGCCCGTGAGGACCTGGCTGGTGCCTGGCGGCACAGGGCTGGGCTGCTCAAGATGCCTGTGCTGGGGGCTCAGCCCCATGGTGCTCCCTCCTACTTTCTCCCAGAATCGTGCCACTGCTCCCGCCCTACCTGCCCGCTCCTGTGGCAGGGCACAATCAGCCCTTTCATTAGTGGGTGTCCCAGGGGGCTGTGTGGAAATTGAATGGAAAAGGCAACTGGCTGTTCTAGTTCGTTTGTTAATGTGCGGCAGAAAAAATGTGTCAGATTTTTCCTTGACACCGTGGGCCAGGAGGGAGGACTCTTAAAGCTGCAGAGCGCTGCTTTGCTGGGGAGGTGCTGCCACAGGGTGGACACTCCTGCATGCTGCCTGTCTCACCCAGCCTGGACCCTGCTCCTTGTTGCTCAGCCTTCATGGCTCTGCTCCAACTCTGTGTGGGCCCCAGGCTGCTGCTGCTCCTCTGGAGGGAAAGCTGCATCCTGGGGACCCTACCCTGGTCCTAGTGTGTTCTGTGGCCTGGCTGCTGGCTCCTGCCTTGCCTGCTGAGGAGATGAGGAAGCCATTTCCAGAGTGTAGCAGTGTGGTGACCAGGGAGTTGGCCAGGTAGCACAAGTAAGCTGGGATTAAACCCTCCTGAGCTGGACAAGGGATGCCTTAATCCAGCCTAAGTCCCCCTGCTGAGGGAGACACTGTATTGAGTGCTGTCTGCTCCTTGGAAGCCCCCAAGCTCATTCCTTGCTTCTGGAAGGTGCTGAGCAGGGACATGTCTTCCCCAGGGCAGCTGTTGGCTGGCAGCATGCTGCTGTCTGACTTTTTTTTGTTGTTAGTTTTGGTAGTTATTTTTGCTATGGTTTTAGTGAAGTTTTCTGTAAGTTACCGCTGTGTGAGCATAGTTGCAATCTTTTGTTTGTATTCCTGTAGCTTTACTTGGTGTGGAAGGATTGTTCTCGTGGCTCAGCTTTTGGGCAGATGGGTGTTTTCCAGCAGGGGTGGTGTTCTCGTCTCCAGTGACGTTCGTGGCAGTGTCTGCAGGGCTCGTACTGCCAGGAGCAGCCGTGGCTCCCTCTGTTCTCGCTGTTGGACCTTCTGCCAAGCACGCGTCACTCCAGGTGGAACAGCCTCAGCTCTGAGGCCTGCAGCCTGGAAAAAGAGCTCTGCAGTGAGGCTGGGTGATGGGGAGAGCCCAAGGGGAGCTGGACCCAGGCTGTTCCACAAGGATGCGGCTGGTACTGGGGCTCAGGAGAGAGCACGCTACTGTCCTCGGCTGGAATTAAGGACAGAAAACGAGGCACGGCCTCCTGTGCTCAGTGGCACAGCCCTGCCTTGGGCCCCCCAGCAAACTCTGTTCCCAGGCGCCAGCAGCTCCTTGGTGTGGCTGGAACAGTGTCCCTGGGCGGCCCCTGACGCGGTCTGGGTGGAAGCTGATCTTGGTGCTGCTGTTTGCTGGTCCCTGGCAGCCGAGTGGTGAAAGTCTGTGCAGGCTTTGGAGGGACACCAGTAAGCTGTGCTGCAGCTCATGGATGAAAGTGCTCGTTTTTATTGCTTACTGCTCGGGTTGCGAGTTACATCAACAGGCTCCTGTTTCTCAAGTGGCACCATATGCCAGGACTTGACAGATCCTGCAGAGCCCTTTCTTTCCATTCTGCTGCACCTCTGGCCAAACCCCCAAACCTCTGGAAAGCTGCAGCTGACCCCACTGCTTGAATGTGCTGCCACAGGAATTCTGCGAGGCCAGAAAGCAAAGGCTCTTTCACCAAGGAGTGGTGAAAGCAGGCAGTCAGATGGGCTGCAGTGAATGCTTAATGCACTGTCTCTGCTGGGGCAGTGGTCCTGGTCAGAGAAAAGGAGGGGAAAAGAGGTCTGAGGTCCTCCTGGTTGTGCTGCATGGCAGTGGAGTGGGCACAGTTGTCAGTGATTCTTGGGCATCAGAGGCTGGCAGCAGCAAGGATTAATCTTCCACTGCCTGGGAAGACTGGTTTTCTTGTAAGACTAAAGATGATCACTTCTCCTAAACTCTGCTTCCTCCCTGCTCTCTTCTATCCTGCTCAGGGATAGCTGGAGAATGTCCTGCTCCCCTCAGGTTCCTCCCAGAGGACCATGGCCGCAGGGCCCCTGCGCGTGCCATGGGATGGTGGTGTTGCTGCCCTAAGCTAACTGGGGGCACATAGATTGCTGAGTGGAGTGCATGGCAGTGGCTTTTGGGTCAGCCTGGAGGAGCTGCTTATCTTTGTGTCAATGGTGCTCCAGGTGGCTCTGTGTGAGGCTTTTTTCAGGGGTGGTGGCGGGTGCAGCTTTGGTCATGTGGAGCTGTTTGAGGGAAAACTGGGATTTGCACACAGAGGAATGGTGCAAAGAGGGCTGTAGGAGGTGAGAGGTGAGCAAAGAAACTTTTCTGTCTGCCTGTGGGAGAAAGGAGCTGTCCCTGTCAGGTGAGAGGCAGCAGGCAGTCCTCTTTCCTCAGTGCTTCTGCGAATGGACAGGTGGCTCCCAGGGGTCCGGGGGGCTCGGGCTCAGCCTGGAGTTGTGCTTGCTGCTACCAGGGTGGAACTGTAAATCCGCTTAATGGGCTGGGAGGGAATTCCAGCTCGCCGCCAGTAAATGGGAGCTCTGATGCCGCATGCAGGGCACTGGAAGTAGCTGAACTGAGACCTTATTCAGGACCAAATCACCCCCGACCCCCTCCCAAAATAATAATAATCCCTCTGACATTCTGGCAGCTGGCAGGACACAGGCAGCCTTTGTGCTTGGCCGTTCAGGGGACCCTCTGTTGGTGCAGCAGCAATGTCCCTTTGTGCGTCCCGCGTGCTGGACGGGGACAGTGAATGGAAGGTTCTGCTGGTGTTTATTTTCTTTAAAAAAGCTGAAGGGGGTGGAGAGGGGGAGAAGGCGGCCGGCTGGGAGGTTCATGTTCACATCCTCTACTCGGAGACACCTCGTCTTTGCTCCCGTGCTGCCGTCCCCCCGGGCCGGGTGCTACACAATGAGGGTCTGTGCGGCTGCAGCGCGCTTGGCTGTGGGGCGCTCGCAGGAGGGGCGGAGGAGACCCCCGGTGTGTGCGGGCGTGACTTCCGCACGGCTCAGGGAAAGGGCACATTCCTATGGCTTGGAGCAGGCAGGGAGAAACAGGGTCTAGATTTGTTCTGCTTTCTGGCTGTGCTCAGTACCGTCTTCTGTCTCACGTTCTTAGAAGGATCCGTGAGATCCGTTCCCCTTGCAAATTTGGAGAATAACACCTTTATGCAGATGCGTGAGACCGGGCTTAAGCAAAAGCCCTATCTGGTGGCAGGTGGGAAACGAGCAGCAGCAGCAGCTCTGACTGACATCCATGCCATGCCCTGAGGTGAGGGCCCTGGGCATCTGCCTCCTTGGGACTAGAATCCATGATGCTCATGAATGACCTGTCTTGCAACCTTCTGTTCACCACGAGTCCCAGGCACCAGGTTTGGGGTGGATGTCAGATGCCCAGCACGGCACAGCAGGTGACACTGCACACAACAGGTTCCAGGGAGCTCCATGCTCGCTTGTCTCCAGGCCTTGCTTCCAGGCAGGGCAGTGGAGAGGGTTCCAGTCTCTGATCAGTGCCCCCACAGTGCAGTGACCCCTCCTCTGTTTGCTTATGTCCCTTCCTGGCTGTGTGTGGCTGGCAGGTTCTGGAGACTTGGGCTTGGGGAGTATTTCCAGCCCTGAGCTCTACATTGTGCTGACTGGGCTACAGGTATAGTGTGGGAGATACTTCCTGCAGCCCCTGCCAGGCCCTCACCCTGAGCTGGGGACAGGACAAGGGGTCTATGGGGAACGTGCTCCCCTCCTGCTCCCATGGGTGGGTACTGCATCTTGTCCTCATGGCGAGACAGGGTGAAGCAGGTTGCTTAAAAATGGTGCCGTTGTGTCATGAGCAATCCGTATATAATAAAAATATTATTTGAGCAAATGAGTCAGGAAGTGTCTGGGCTGGCGTCCCGCACTGGGGCAGCCAAATTTTTCTGGCCCTGTGTGGCAGAGCTGGGTGTTTTGGTCCTACTGGCTCAATTGGGGCACGGCCGCAGTTGTGTGAGAGAGTTGTGGTACTGATGGTCCCACTGTGCTTCTGGTTCGGGGGGAACGTGGAAGGTGTGCAGGCAGCCCCTGTGCTGTTCTCTACCTGGGGAGTTGGTGGCTACCCCAGTGGTACTGGGGATGTGGTTTGCTGCTGTCTGGACAGCCCCTGGAAAGCTGGGCGTGCAGCGTGTGCCCAACCTGGGACAGGGAGCAGTCAGTGATTTGGGGCAGGCTCTGCTTCTTGTAGCAGCTGCACAGTCCCTGCTTCGTGCATGGTACCTGTGGCTCACCTGCTGCCTTCCCTGTGGCTGCAGCGATGGCAGGCAATGTCCCCAGATGGATTACTTGTGGGTGAAGCGACAGCAGCTGGTGAAAGTCTTGCTGAGCACTGGGAGCCAGGCTGGCTCACAATGGAGTGGAGCTGGCAGCTGCCTCCTGGCCTGAGCTGGTGCAGCGGTGGCCCAGTGCTGGGGCTGACCATTTCTGAATGTCATGGGGCAGCTCTGGGCGCAGTAGAACAGATACGTGGTGATGCGGATAGAGTGATGGTCCTAGGTTTTCTTTTGCTGATTGAGTTTTCTAGGTGGGAAGAAGAGTAACCCAAGTCTGAAGAATGCTCCTGCTCCTCCACAGCAGAGCAGGACTTCAGGCACCTCAGTGCATAGTTGCTGATCCACTCTGTGCCGCAGACATCTGATGGCTGTGCTGGCATGGATCTCTTCCTACTCCATACATGAATCCAGGCCAGTCTCTCCCTACAGCCTCAGATCTGGGTCTGTGAACTGTTGGTTGTCACAGCCATGTCCCCATGGCTGTAAGGGGATGGAGGGGCCTGGCCTTGCCCCCAGCTCCCAGCAGCTGGAGAATGGTGAGGAGGGGAGGGGGGCTTCCTCAGGAGCAGGCTGTAAGACTGACAGTCCTCCGTGGGCACTGTGGGGTGCCTGTAGGTGTGGGGCTGCTGCTGATGCTTGGAGGGACAGCTGACCCTGGGGGTCCTTTGGGGTCATGGGGAGGGCCTGGTCCTGCAGGGGACTGGGACGTGATGTCTTCACTGTGGTCAGATCCTAGGTGATGACCGGTGGTCTCTTTCTCTATGTCTCCTCATCTCCCCCAGTGGAGAACAGGCAGCTGACCCTGAACCTGCAGACGGAGAACAAAGGCAGCGTTGTCTCCGGTGGAGAGCTGACAATTTTCCTGGATGGGCCGGCTGTTGATCTGGGAAGCCTGCCGAATGGCAGTGCTGTGACAGAGGGTGAGTGCTGCCCGGCTCCGCATGCATGCAGCGGCTCTGTGCACGAGGCGGTGAGCAGCGGCGGGGAGAGGAGCGGGGCTGAGAGCACGGCCCCCAGCACCCCTGAGCAAACATCTGAGTGCCGACAGCCACCTGCTCCCCCAGGTAAGGCCCTGGCCTTGCTCCAGGCTCCTGTGGGAGCTGATGTATGGTGGGGCACAGGAACAGGAGTGTTGATGGCATCGTGCCTGCCTCTTCTCAGTGTTCAAGCAGTCCAGCCCCTTCCATAGCTTTCCCATGTTGGGCTGTGCAAACACATTCTGTATTTGGTGAACCACTCAAAAAAGGGCTCTGCATGGGGAGGGAGCATGTGCAGGGGCATGGACAGATGTCTGACTGCTCGAGGCTGCCCAGGGAGTAAGCAGAGCCCGTGCTGGGAAGTGCACTGCTTTGCATTCCCTCTTTTCCTTCTCTGCCTTGCTGGGTGATCCAGGTCCTAATACCTGGGGCCCTGATGATGCTGACAGAGCCCAGGGTCATACTCACAGCTGTGGGTTCCAGTGGGATGGGCAGAGCCCCAGCCCAGGCTGGCAGGAGGGAGAAGGACTCCTTATGGATGGGGTTGAGGTGGATAGTGGAGAGAGAGCAGTTGTGCTTTTAGGTCTCCTTTATGGTGGGAAGGAAGGAAGAAAGGTAGAACTAATCAGTGCTATAGTTGTTTTCTTCACCCACTTCTTCACCCATTCAGGGTCCCAGGTGCCCGGACGGGACCCTGGCAGCATGGCTGCAGCCACGGAGAGCAGACATCAGTCTGCCACCACAAACTGCTTTGGGAGCAGATCAAGGTAAGAGCAGCACCTACCAGTCCATCACTGGGCAGTTACTGAGCCCCTGGGGGCACTCCAGCAGTGTCCATGTGGCTCAAGGACATGGTAGCTCCTCCAAATCTCCCAGCAAAGCAGCACACAGGAGACTTGGGGCAGGGCTGGGTGCAGACAGCAGAGTTGGGCATGGTGGCCATGCAGCTGGAGTGCAGATGGCCAGTGTCTCCCTAGGTATTTGTTTCTTAAGGCACATCATTGTGATTGCACAGGCAGTTTCTCCCAATTGCTCTGCTGGCAGGCATGGGAATGGTGCATTAGGGTGTGCGGGGAGGACTGGCACTCAGAGCAAGGAGCCTGGTCCTGGCAATGGGGCTCTCTCTGAGTGGCTGCTCAGTGGTGGGTGCTGCACGTCTGCCTGCAGCATGGCCCTGGGCCAGACTGGGGGGCACCATACCCATGGTGGTGATCACAGGGGAATGCTTCAGAAGGTCCAGGGTGAGCCAGAGAAGCAAAGCAAGCCTAGCTGTCGGGAAATAACAGCTACTTCCAAAGGAAATGAGATGCTTGGGCAGCAGCCACCCTACCTGGCACAGTGCCTGTCCCTGCCTTCTTGCTGGAATGGAGTGGCGCAGAGCTGCTCCTTTTTGGAGCTGTGGTTATTGAGGGACGTGTCACACTGTCAACATGGAGTTGAATTTAACGCCTATTTATATTTCTACGGTGTGGCAGTGGCCCAGCAGCCCATACAGATATTCTGGTTAAAGTGTGCCTGTAGTGAGGAGCCTGCAGCCTGCACAGTAAGGAGCTCTGTGTGTCCTGCAGGCTTCAGGTGTAGGAGCATGGTAAGGAGCTCTGTGCTTGGAGCTCCTCTATCTACTAGGCACATACAAGAGAGGAGTGAAGGAGAGAAATGCTTTTTAGCCCTAAAAAGTGATCCCATCCTTTGATACAGTGCTTGTTTGGGGTAGGGTAATGGTGACACATCACTGATTGCAGTTTGTGCCGTGTTGCTGCTCCTCTTGGTTCCTGCTATCTGGATGTTAATGCCATCTCAGAGATGAGATGGATCTCTGACCTGGCAAAAGCTGCTCTTTGCAGCAGTTCTCAGCCGGTGCTGGAGGGCCTGGAACAGAACTGGTTGGGATGCTCAACTTGGAGACTGGGTGCTTCACATTCCCCATTGCTTTCTGCCTGTGAGTAGTTTCTACTCTTGGTGTCCTGAGCTGTGAGCATGCAAGATGAGCGTGCTAAGTCCTGGCTGGTGCTTCTGAAAGGACCTCCGGAGACCTTCCAGCTGTGGCAACCTGCAGTTGTTACAGCATGGGAAACCATCACTAGTTTTTGCATCTGAATATAGGTTGTTCCGAACAATTTGACATTTTAGTGGAGCACTGCTTATGGGGCAAAGTGTGGCTCTGTGTACCCAGCACAGAGTCAACTGCCTTCCCCAGGTCCTTTGCACATGAGAATGCTGTTTGATGTTAACTCTGTTTATATGCAGAGCAGTGTTTATTTTCATGGGCTTGGTGATGGACGCTGGCAAACTTGCTCGCAGGCAGGATGGAAAGAAAAGTTTCATTCTTTGCTCCTCAACTATTTCTACACTATCCCCCCAAGGGAAACTGCTTGCTCAGGGCTTCTCTTTCTTCTTCTGAGCAAATGTCATCTTGGGATTTGCTGCTAATCTTGGTGACGGGGTGTGAAATTCCACAGCCCTCTGCATGAAGAGAAAACAGCCCAGAGGCCCCCAGCTGAGGTTTGGTGCAATGGGTGCCCAGAGGGTTGCTACAATCTCCATTTGTTTTGTGGGGGCCTAAGAGGCCCCTCCTGACAGCATGGAACAGAGTGGTCTGCTTTGGATTTGGACCGGTGGGCTGAGCTCTGTTGGGTGCTGCCCTCTGACTTTGCTGTCACCTGCTGCAAACAGCGCAGACCCCAGTTATTCCTTCGGTGTACTGTGTGTTAACTTTTACTACCTAATCACATCCCAAGCCTACAGCTTAGCTGGTGATGGGCATGAGTAGCCCTGAGGACAAGCAGCACCTCTGGCTCTGTGAGCCCCATTCTCTGGCTGCTCCACACAGCAGGATGCCTGGGTAATGAAGATAAACTGGGCTCGAATCACATTGATTTGGGGTTTCAGAACCAAGCACCGGTGGTGCTGGCTGGTGTGGGGTGACAGGTGCTCCTCCAGGTGCTGGTACCTGTTCCGTCCCCATTCCCAGCATCACATTCCAGTGTGACATGGGGTATGTTGGGGAGAAGGCAGCCATTTCTCTCAGGGATAGGGAGAATTCCTCTCCAGCTGCCATTTGCCATATTGCATCCTGAATGAGACCAACTGGCACTTCCAAGCACAAGATGCCAGGAGCCATTGGTCATGGGGATGAAATCCATTCCTGCATTTCACACCTGGGCTGGAGGTGAGCATGGGTGATGTGCCCTGCTCTGTGTGCCCTCCATCAGCCTGTGCAGAAGGGTTCTGCCTTGATGGCTGACACCACTGCCTTTTTTGGCTGCACCTGTTCCCTCTGCCGTAGCTGGAGTGGCTGATGGAAGGGGACGGTGGGGCTTATGCTCACCGCCAGGGCAAGGGCCTGTCCCTGCCTGCTCCTTCCCAGCGGCACTGCTGCCTGTTCCCATCTGCATGCTGCTGTTTTTTCCCCCACTCCTATTTTAAGAGTTTGTTCCCAGTCTAGCCTCTGTCACGTGGACTCACTGGGTTTGTTTCCATGCATCTATTAAAAGACAATGCCCAGATGGGAGCGCTCGTAGGAGGGCTGGGCTGGGCGGCCCGCGGGCTAATTCAGGCCTGATAACCCTGTGCGGCCAGCTGGCAGCAGGGAAACATCCTGTTTTGGTTGCTAAAAACTGCGGGCAGCTCTTAGCTCATCTGCAGCAAGAACGGTGAGGACAGGATTCATCCATCCATTGCTTCAACTAAGGATGGGCGTGGAGATCTGGGTCCTACAGCCCGGCTGGCTCTGAGCTGCTTTCTGCTTTCCCGTGTCTCTTCCCAGCCCTTTCTCTGCCTGGCGTTGCTGCGAGCCGCTCCCTGAGGAGCATGGGGAGGATCCAAGGGCTTGCTGGAGCTGGCGTGGGTGGCATGAGCGATGCTGTGCCCTGCCCTTGCCAAGCTGCTGTCCCCTCCCAGCTCAGCCTGGCCCTGGGAAGTGGGGACAGTCTGCAGGTTTTGCCCTTTTAAGGGGAGAAGTTGGCTGGAACAAAGCAAGCCCTAATCCCCACGTCCTGGTGTGGTGGCTGTGAGCACTGCACTGCCCTGGGCGGGAGTGGCCCCACTCTGCCTGCGCTCCCCAGATCTTGAAGTGGGAAAAAGGCTCTTCCCAGTGGTGCAGAGCTCTCACTGCCCCACATTACAGAGTGAACACCAAGGGGACTGTCAGAGTGTTCCCTCAGTCAGCAGTTCTCTCACCTTGATGTTTGTGCATGGTGAGGTGCCCTACAGTTGAATGTTACCCTTTCCCTCACTGAGCATCCCTGTGAGAAGTTGGGCTCTGGCTGTGGTTGTTTCAGTGCCGCCTTTCCCAGCTGTTCCTTCCTGGCACCATAGGCAGAAGCTTTCAGCATCCCCACCTGTCTCTGCGTGGGGCTTGTGGCTGCTGTGAGCGTTTCCTTGGGGGTCTCCTGGAGCAGAAGGCAGCAGTGTGTGATCATCCCTGGGCACGCAGGCAGGGGCTGCACTGAGAGTTTTCCCCTATGGGCTCTGATGTGGGGGGTGTGATGCCAGGACCCGTATGTAGATTCAGAGAGCTGAGGTTTGGGGCAGGTACGTGCTGCTGTGTCCCAACAGGCAGGCAGATGTCTGTGCCTGGGGAGCAGCAGCATGGAGTTGGGGCAAGCAGCTCTCTTCCAGGCCCAGCTGTGCCTCATGTCCTATTTCTTTCCCTGTAGGACACACCGCCTGGCTGCTGGGGCCTCCAGGCAGGGTGCGGGCAGCGGGGAGCAAAGTCCTAACGCACGGAGCCGGCACCGGCAGCCGCCCAAGAGCCCGACAGCCAGCAGCATGGCCAACGGCACTGCCAGCAGCACCGGTGAGCACGGCGGGGGATCTGCTGCTGCTACGGGCGTGGGGTGGGCAGAGGTGGCGGTGTGGTCTGAGGGGGAAAGGAGTTTTCTACTGTGATAAAGAGTCCTGTAGTGCTGAGTGATTCCTTCCTCACGAGAGAACTGTTGGTTTCACTTTGATAAACTGGGCAGCTCCTTAAGGCTCACCGGCGGGATCTGTTCTGTCGCTCTGTAATGATTTCCATGGCTCTTCTCTGAGAGGGCAGGGCACAAACCCACCCCTCACAAGGACACTCAGTCTTATGCCAGCAATACCTCCGGGAAGAGTTCTCCTTGCCTTTTCTTGGGCTTGTCCGCAAAGCCATGAATACCCCATGGAGCGGAGGCTGGACCTGGTGAATGTGTGACTACAAAACCGTAAGCAGCTCACCGACTTTTCTTTGCTGGTGTGCTAGAGCTGCCCAGTGTTCAGGAAATCTGAAGCAGCTCTGAGACGTGATGGTAGCATGGTGTCTGGCACTGTAGGCTTAGCAAAGGTCCCATGTCCCACATCCTGGGCGAGTACATGGTGTGGTGCTGTAGGGTAGGAGGTGGCAGCAGGGTGACACCACTACCACAGGTATTTCCTACTCCCCTGCACTGTTATTTTTCAGCCAGTTCTGTCCTTTCTTTTGTTTTTGTCAGAGACCTGAAGGAAAAACAGCATGCTTTGTTTCAGATAGAAGGAAATGTTTGGTTCAACCCAGGAGGACTTTTTTCCTTTTTTTTTTTTCATTACTTTGGAAAAACCTGGAGCACTGTAATTTCCATTTTGCCAAAATCCATTTTGGGAAGGAAGTGAGCATGCAGAGGGCTGCAGTGGGATGCAGCAGTTCAACCTGCAGTCCTGGCTTGCCCCAGTGCTGCTCAGTGCCACTGCCTGCCCTGCCCCATCGGAGTGCACCCGCAGGCACAGCGCTGTTCCTGGGCTCTGCTCGCTTCACAACGTGTTGTGCTGGCCTGGCCCCAGCCTTCCCAGTGCCTTTATGGCTGTGCTGTCCTTGTTGCTGTTTATCTGTCAGCAGCGTGCCAGCTGGGGCGTTACACCTCGGGATGGGAGGTGCTGCCTGGGGGTGGTGCTGGATGCTGTGTCACGCTCAGCATGCCTCCAGAAGCCTTTCTCTTCCTCCCTGCTCGGTACATTCTGTTGATGTTAGTGCGTGCAGTTTGGGAGCAGGCTGCTGCAAGAACTTCCCAGTTACATTTGTAGCCCACAGCTGTATTTCTTCTGAGAAGAAAGGTAAATTACACTATGGCATGCGTTCTCCATGGTGTAGCTTAGCCCCAGCCCTACTCCTCCCGGAGTCCTTATCAGTGGACTTTGAATCATCTTTTCCCCTGTTCTGTCCAGGACTGAGATCAATGCAATTGCAGTGCAGTCACCTGAGTCAGGTTCCCTCAGAACATTGGCACAGTTTGCTTGAAGCTCCTCAATCCTCTTCCTAAGGCTTGTCAGCAGTACCTGACTACTGTGCAGTGTATATTACAAAACTTGGGCTTGCAGCTTTTTACATTTCTTAATTCTGACTTATGGAGTTCTATCTGCATCCCTTTTTGTTTTGTTTTTAGTTCTTTAATTTCACTGTGGCAAAAGTTATCCTCTGCTGTGCTGTCAAGCTCTGCTTTTTGGCTAGCTGATAAATATTCATCAAACAGATTTCCTTTCATTCTTTTGGTCTACGTTTTCCTCCTGATCAGTTTTCATTGCGGTTTTCCCTTGCTCAGTCCCTTCCTCTTCACAAACACAGTGGAACCAGCACTACTCAGCTCCCAGCAGTGCCTGTTGTGGGCATGCTGTGAGGCAGCCCCTAAGCTCCTTACTTCTGGCATCCACGTCAGGCCCCCAGCACATCTGCAGGCAGCAGAGGGGATGCTGAGCATAAATGCAGTTGTCTGCTTTTATCTCAAGAGGAAACATGGAGGCAGGGGCTCTGTAGGACCTGGCCTGACCTGGAACCGTGTGCTCTCTGTCGCCGTCACCACCACCACCATGGTTGTGGGGCTGCCCCAGGGTGGTGGAACAGCCAGTGCTGTTCTTGGTGCTAATATCTCTGCCCTCTGCCTTCCCAGTGAACGGCGATGTGGTGGGAGCTGCAGACGTGGAAGAGGAAAGGCCAGCTGCGGGGACAACGCTGGCTGCGGCGACGTCGAGCACAGCTGAGGTCTCTGTTGCTGCATCCACCCTTCCTGCCCTGTCTGGCTCCACAGAAGCCGAGGAGGCAGCACCCAGCACCCCACAGGCACGGACAGCAGTGCAGGCTCAGGACTCGCTGCCCCCTGGGTAAGCAGCTCTGCCTCCTCCTGCTCGAGGCTCTTGTTCCCTGATGGGGCAGTGTGGCTGAGTGTCCTGGGGGTACTCGAAGGGGGAGGCACAGCCCTGGAGGCAGTGTGAGAGCTGCTGGGACACTGCTCTGTGCTGCAAGAAGGATTGGGTGTTGGAGAGCTGGGGCCATGCAGCAGGGCTCAGCAACAATGACTTTCCTGCTCAGCAGAGCACAGGGCATGGGAAGCCCTGCAAGGGGCCATGAGGACAGCTTGGGAAGGGAGCCTAGAGCAGAGAGCGGGTGCTGCTGGGAGTGCAGAAGCATCCAAGAAGACCTGCTGTCTCTGTCTGGTTCTGTTGAATGGGGATCTGTGTCTTCCATCTCTGACACAGCTTGTCCTGTCCAGCCAGAGCTGGGTCTGTGTTGCTGGACTGCTCTCTCCTCCGTTGGGCCAGGACTCTGATCTGTATCCATTGTGGGGCCCTGGGGAAGTGAACAGTGAATTGCATCTCCACGGTAAGTGGCCTCCCAAGGCTGGTGCCTGGAGCAGCAAAGTCCTCAGAGCTCCTGTGGCTGCTCAAAGATTTCAGTGGGAAGAAAATAAAAGAAAGTGTGGATCTGCAGGGAGCTCCTGACAAAAATGACCATTGTGGGGAGCTGGGAGGGATCCTCCCACAGTTTGTAGGTCTAGTGCTACTCTGGATCCTGGGCTCTTCTGGTATTACTGGGAGAGAGGGGGAGAGTCATCCTTGGGAAGGTGAAGCCCTGTGCTGTGCCAGCCCAGTGGTGCTGTGGGAATGCCTGGGACTGGAGTTCCTCTCTGGCTGCTTTGTGTCTTGCTGGGTGTTGGGAAGGAATGGGACTGGGACAAGCTGAACCTCATCCTCCACCTTTCCTACACCTTTGCACTGGACTGCAAATGCAGAGCAGAACAAGGGGGTTGCAATGCCTCGTGTTCATATAAAGAGAGCTGTTTATTTTCCTCTGGCTCAGCCGATGCCTGGAAGGTCAAGGCCTTGCTGATGTGTCAGTCACAGGTAATTAGGGTTAACGGCTCAGTGTGCCTTTATGCAGGGTGTGTGAGGGTTACTGTTCTCCAGTCTGGGCGCTTCCTGTTTCCAGGCAGCTGGAAAAGTCCAGGACTCTGAAAAAGGTCTTTATTCCAACCCATGCCCCTTCCTGTGCTTACTGGGCAAATGGGAGCTCTCCTCCCCACCTCTGCCTGCCTGAGGTGCAGAGATGTGGATACTCCTCCCCGAGGTGTGGAGGGGGGCCTTCACTTTCCCTCCCTTCTTCTTACCACAGGATCTGTAGTGGGAGAAGAGAACAGCAGCATCTTGCATGCGTTGTATGAGCTGTAGTGGCTGCTCTGCTCTGCAGGTGGGGTCTGAGTGTTGAGGTGCTCCCAGATGAATCCAGAGTGGAGCACTGGATCCGGCCAGGCCATGAGCCCTGTGTGAAGGCAGCTGGAGGCTGGTGCCTTTGCTAAGCAGGGATTGCAGGAACGTCCATGGCTCTGAGAATGGTATAAGTGAGCTCTGGGGGATCTCTGGAGACCCAACATGAGGAAGCTGCCTCTGGCTGGCTCACTGCACTGGGGAATTGCTGTGATTCGTGGTTTGGGGCCCACTATGGGATGAGGATGCAGCTGGCTTGCAGGAGACAGTGATGCCTCAGGCAGGAGGCATGTGGACCAAACCAGGCTGTTCTGGCACTGTGCAGTCCTCACCAGCCCTGGTGATCACTAGGTTCCTTGCAGAGCTGCTGGGAGCCATCATGTCTCTGTCCCTAAGAAGCCACCAGAAGGCTGCCTGTTTCCTGGGCTCCTCTGAGCATCTTCTTTCATCCCAGGAGCAGGGAAAGCACTCACTGTGCAGAGCAGGAGCAGCTCCGAGCTCATTCCTCCTTGCTGGCTGGGCTGCGTGTGGAGTGCCAGCATGTTGGGTTCATGTGGGGATCCGTAGCAATTTATGTGGCCCAGAGAGTTCTCTCTGAACATCTGCACCAGATGTGCTGAGCACAAAGGCAACATACAACCAGTGGTGTGTTTGGGGCTGGAGGGTGCTGGAAGGTGTCCTGAATCGTTCCAGTCCCAGCTGTGTGTGGAGCCCTCCATCACCCTGGCCGCTGCGGAGCGGCTGTGCTGCGGGAACAACCCAAAACCTCAGCGTGGGGCCCTGGCCCTCCTGCCTGGATGCCCATGGGACAGCAGGGCCACAAGAGCGACTGGCCCTGCATCTGGTTCCTATCAGCAGTGATCCCACGCAGGGACAGGCGCTCGCTGCCATTCTGCGCACACAGCCTCGTCTGCGCACACAAAGAGCTGCATTATGTGCCTGGCAGCAGGCACGCTGCTGTGGTTTCTTACATAAGGAAGGTGTTCTGTTTGGACTGCAGGACTGCCCCACAGCCTCCGCTTGCCTCTCCCGCAGCAGCACGGGTGCACATGGTGCTCGCTGGGGCTGACAGCTCCCAGCCTTTCTCAGAGCAGTGGCACAGCTGTGCCATGCATGGACCTGTGGTCGTGGTGCGTGTGGCTCCAGGCTTATGTCTTCCCCTGGGGGCTTGGGGAAAGTGGGAGTGCTGCAGATGATGGGCACTGGTGCTTGGAGCACCTTCGCTGTGTGGGCCTGCCAGCACGCATCCATTCAGCTGCCAGCATAACAGAAGTGAGTAGGTTAATTTCCCAGGGCTTTTAGTAATGATTAATTGAGGCTGAAGATTGAATTGGGAGGGAGACCTGTGGGAGCAGAAGCGTGGCAGGAGAACACTTGATCTGTCGGCAGCTGTGTGCTGCAGAGTAAGAGCTGACAAAGTGTGGTGCTGCACGGAGACTCTGTGTTTGCCAGAGCATAAACTTCTATGAATAGTGAATGGAGTTGAGGAATGGCTGCAGTGCTGTGCAGGACTGGGCTACCCCATGGCTCTGGGTTCCCTGGAGGACTGCATCCTCGTGGTGTCTGGCAGCAGTGGGGCTGTCAGGGAAACACAGCCCCAGCCCAAACTTGAAGGTTCTACTTTAAAAATGTATGAAAAGAAACAAAACAAAAACACATGGGCGTAAAGCTGCACCTGAGTTAAGTGACTGATTCTCCTACTTTCTGCAGGAAGTCAGGGATCTGTGCTCCCAAAGACACCTGTCATCAGCACACAGCCTGCTGCAGCACCTCTGCCCTGCTCTGTATATAGCGAGCCAAAGAGCTGCCATGTGGACCTGCTGTCATACTGTGCTTTAAAGAAAGCGTGAACTTCTGTAGCTAAGCAGTGCAAGGAGACAGGTTACTAACCCACCAGGTGCAACTCTCTAATAAGTTGACTGTTAATTACTATTGGCCCACTGGTCCCTGGGGAGCCCTTACAGGTTAACACATTGTGTGGATAGTGCTGGGTCCCTGATGCTCATTACAGCTGAGCCCCTCTGCTGGCCCTGGCTTAGCACAGGTTCCTGCATGTCTCCTGCTGGAGCTGCTCTGCCCAGTGCTGGAGTTCTGTGGGGCAGGCATGGAGAGCAGCAGGCTCTGGTTGCTGCCAGGATTTGGGTTCTGTCCTGCTGGGGTTTGGGCTCGCTGCCTGCCCATACCAATTGTGATTGTCTATTTCAGGTGGGAGCAGCGGGAGCTGCCAAATGGTAGAGTCTACTATGTAGACCACAACAACAAGACCACCACGTGGGAACGACCGCTCCCGCCGGGGTAAGGGCCTTGGGGCAGGTGTGAGGTGGGGTGAGGGGGCTGAGCTCTGGGTGGGCGCACGCAGACACACGCCATGTGCCCCAAACCTGGAGCTGGACTGCATCTGCTCAGAGGGGCCTCTGTTCTTATTGCCCCAGGGTGCGCTTGTTCTCACACATATGATACTGCACAGCTCTGTGAAATCTGCAGAAGGATCTCTGCAGAACTTGTATCTGCGGGGGAGGGTCATCCTTTTCTTTACAGGATTACACAGTCCTCTGGTCATGCAGGCTGCGTGTAGCTCTCAGGGCCCGTGTATTTTCCAGAAGCTTGTTGAGTTCTCACCTCTTCTCTGTGCCCCAGAAGCAGAGAAGTCAGTACAGCCAAGCTGCTGTTCTCTGGGCTGGGTTAGCTCATGGCTGGAAGGAGCACAGTGCTTCACAGCCAGCGTAGCAGCGAGCCTGAAATACAAACCAGTCCTGGGAGCTCTGGGTCCCCATGCTCACATGCTGCCCTCAGTTGAGCCGTGATTCCTGCAGCCCTCACTGCCTCTTGCTGGTCCTCCAACAGCTTAAAAGCTGCTTGGTATTCAGAGGGAGGCTATTCCCAGGAAAAGACAGGTTGGGAGGGCCCCAGGTATGCTCTTTCCCTCCTATCCTAGAATCACAGAGTCACAGCATGGTTGGGTTGCAAGACCTCACAGCTCCCACAGTCCTACCCTGTGTTGTGGGCTCAGGGCTCAGTGCTCCCACCAGCTCAGACTGCCCAGGGCCCCATCCATGGCCTTGAACACCTTGAGGAATAGGTACCCATAGCTCCCTGGGCAGCCTGTGCCAGTGCAGGTGTTTGCTTGGTGCCTCGCCTCTGCTAGGTGCCGGCCTTCCTTGAAGCACATGTACTACATGTCAATCGTGGTGCCCGGTGGCACTGTCTCACTTCACTTGGAGCAGAGCTTCTGTATGCCCTTGTGGCAGGGCTCACCTTGTGCTGAGGAACCCTTTCAGCATGAACTTGGTTGCACTGGAGCTGGGAATGGAGCCCCTGCGTTGGAGGGCAGTGATTAATCTTGGGAGAGGAGCCAGAGAGTGAGTGTGGGAAGTCAGCCCGTGCTGTCAGTGTGAGAGGAGAAATCAGTCCCCAGAGGGGACCTCAGCCCCAGCAACACTCAGTATTCCTCCCTTGGAGGCTGCTTTTCTCACCTGTGTTTCTGTAGGGTGTTGATGCCATGGAGCGTTTCTGAGTCCCTGTGCCTTCACACAGTGGTAGCACTGAGCAGCTATGTGGTGTGTGAGCTGAGCATGAGGTGCAACCTGGGTCTGTGCTGGTTGTCACCGCTGTCCTTTCCTGCTGCAGCGCTCTCAGCAGGGATGTGCCAGACCCTCTGTCTCCTGAAGGGCTGTTCAGCAGTGTGGTGCCACGCGCTGGGCTCTGAGCAGCGGCAGGAGGAGTGCTGGAGGAGGTTGGACAGTGGTCTGCTCACCAGTAGGGTGTGGAATCCCTTGGAGAAGGGGGCATCCGGCTCTAAGAGCGCTGAAGCAGGGCTGCGAGTGCCCAGGGAGCCCTTTTTCCAATGACAGGTAGTGACATCTTCCCGTGGTGCCTCCAGGTGGGAAAAGCGTGTGGACCCCAGGGGCCGCTATTACTACGTGGACCACAACACCCGCACCACCACGTGGCAGCGCCCCACGGCCGAGTACGTCCGCAACTATGAGCAGTGGCAGTCCCAGCGCAGCCAGCTGCAGGGAGCCATGCAGCAGTTCAGCCAAAGATTCCTGTACCAGGTGAGAGCCGGGGGCTGGGTGGCAGCAGGAGGCAGCGTCTGTGTGCCCGGAGTGCCCGTGCCACAGGCACTGCTGCCCACACAGCTGGGCAGTCTCTCCAGGCCCTGTGGAAGGAGGGGGCAGAGGAGGGGGCTCCCGCTGAGGCTCGGCTGTGATCTGGCACTGGCTTCTCTGCCAGGCGCCTTTGGAGTCACTCCAGTGCTGCGCGAGTCACCCTGGCTGTGTTCTGTGAAGTGCAGAGGGAGGGACTCGCACTCCAAATTTAGCCTGATGAAACGATTGTACTTCTCATTTTGAGCTCTCTGCTGTCAGCAGCAATGACTCCTGCTCTGCCTTCCTCTCCATTGGGACTCTGTGCTTTGCTTTGCCCTCTTGGTCCCAGCAGTGGCTGACTTCCCTCCTGGCAGTGCCAAGCCCCCTCTGGGCCGTGCTACAGCAGGGTCCCTCCATAACAGACTGCCTGGGAGCAGCACTGTGTGCACTGAAGGGTCTCATGGCACAGGGCCGTGCCTGGGGGCTGCAGATCATGGAGCTGCTGATTGTCATCTCCCTGGAGCCCTGCGCCGAGCTCTTGTTTTGCTGCTCTGTTTGTTTGAATTGGTTATTTTTAAGTCACAGTGAGGCGATAGCCCTGGATGTTCCTCGGCTTCTTCTCTGGGCAGGGAGTGAGGGAGCTAACTGAGGTGCACCATGCTGTGCCAGGGCCTCTACTGTACTCATCCTGCCGCAAGAGGAGAAGCCAAGAGCTGTAGGCTGCTCCAGCCCCAGTGCACCACAAAGCATCCCTAGGGTTCTGGGCTGGCCCCTTAGTACTGGCACCCATTCTAGGCGGGCAGGCGACCCTGGCACCCCCGGTGGTGGTTGTGCCCCATCCTCATGGAGGTGGGCTGGGATCCCTCTCTTGAGTCTGGGCTTCAAGAGGTGTGATGAAAAGACCTTTTTTATTACAACGCATTTCTTATTGAACCCCAAAGTCATTTCCATACTCCTTCTGCACTGAATCACCGGCTGCCGGGGCTACGCCTCCGTCCCTGGAGCTGTGGGTTAACACAAACCAGGGCGCAGTGCCTGGGGCACCCCCCGCTTTAGGCTGGGTGAGGCCGCCCGCCCGGCACAAGAAAGGTGCTTTGTGTGGCCCCGACCTGCTGGGGGGGGGCCGGGAGCCGCCTGTCTGCACAGCCATGAATGTGCCCTCAGTGCGAGCGCATCCCGGCCCTGCGTGCTGCCCGGGAGGAGGGGGGTGCGGGCCCCGCCAGGAAGCGCTGGGCGTGGACAGGGCTTGTGGGAATGATTTCATTGGAAAGGCCTGCGATATTTTTTCCCTCTTGTGTGTGGTTCTTGGAGGAGGCTGGAGGTGTATCTGCTGGGGAGAGCCACTCGGGCCAGCGGGAGCTGAGCGGCCGTGCACATCTGGAGCTGCAACATGGTCCCGCTGCTCTCTGTGCTGCCCCCAACCTCTGTTTAGGTTGTGCTTTTTTCCTTTTTTTTTTAACACCCCCTGAGCGTGCAATTGTTTTGTTTTGTTGGGTTTTTTTTATTTTTTTTAAGTACTTTGGGAGCTGTGGGCCAATAGGAGGTGAGTGGGAAGCACGGGGACCCAGAGCTCCCTCCATCTGCACCCTGCTGCTCCTGCCTGTCCTGGCCCTGCTTTTTATTTTGTGTTTTGCCCTCTCTCATCTCTAGCCGTCTGGTGCCCCGTCTGACAATGATCCTCTTGGTCCCCTTCCTCCTGGCTGGGGTAAGTACAGAGCCCCTTACCTGCCTGCGCCCTGCCCTGCTGCGTTCAAGATGCTCCGTGCATCTGTGTGTCCTTCCTGCGTTAGTGTGTGCCCCATTTGGGGACACAGTTCTCCCCATACTCTGCTGTATGTGCGGCTGTCTGCCTACGGTTAGCTCCATCTCTGATTTGAAATCCAGCTTTTTTCCCATTTTTTTCCACCTTTTTTCTCTTTTCCTGGAGAATTTCCCAGCTCTCTCTCTCTCAGCTACTGAATGCAGAAGTGTTTGTGGTTGTTCTTTGGACTGGGGCAGAGAACAGGGATCCAACTCCTTGCTTGGCCCTGGAGCCCTTGAGTGCTCTCCCTCCTGCCACGCAGTGCCCCTGGGTGCCCTACTCCCAGGCACAGCAGGATGGCAGCCCTGTCCCCAAGTGCTGCTGCTGTCCTTGTGCCTCATCCAGAGTGTGGGGGTACCTTGGTTTACCTGAGCTGGGGAGGGCTGGCAATCGGAGCAGCAAGGGTCTGGTGACATGGAGATGGCATTAATGGGAGCTGAGGGATGCTGTGGGGTGCTGGGATGTTTTAAAAGGGCCCCAGTGCCATTTGCGGAGTGCAGATGGCCCCTATCCTGAGGGAGGCATCCCTGGAGGAGGGTGGACTGGGGTGTGGGGGGTTGCCCTGTCCCCGTGCCTGCACCCAGGCAGATGGATGGGGTCCCTGGGGCAGCTGGAGCCAAGAGCAGAAGTGCTGGAGCACCCTATCACCATGCTTGGTGTCTCTGCGGGGCTGGGGGCAGGAATGTCCCATTGCCATGTTCCCTTCCACAGCCTGAGAGTGAGCAGGGGGGTACAGAGGGGACAGGGAGCGCGTGCAGAGCGTCCCTCCCAGCATGGAGTGGAGCTGTGCTGGGAGCACATGTGGTGACAGGGACACGGTAAAGTGGAGCAGGCGCAGAGCAGTGGGCAGCAGTGGTGCTGATGTGAGCAGTGTTTGTTTTATGGCTGTGTACAACAGAGGGGGGTGTGTGTGTGCATGCAGGCAGCGGGGCTGTGAGAAAGCATCCCTGGGGTCATGGCCCCAGCAGGGTGCCCCTGCGGACCCTGGAGAACTGGGCCTTCCCCAGAGGTGCTGCAGCTTCTGCACATGGGAAAAAAAAGTAATTTAAACATCAGTATTTTCATTTTTAATTCTGCCTTCTCCATATGTACTGTAGCAGAGCAGGTGGAGAAGTGGGATCTGACAAACACTGGGAAAGGAGGGCTGTTCCTGGACACTGGTGCCTGCAACACTCTAACTATGACTTTTCCTCTGTTTCCTCCTAGAAAAGAGACAGGACAACGCGCGGGTGTATTACGTGAACCACAACACGCGGACCACGCAGTGGGAAGACCCTCGCACCCAGGGGTAGGTGCCCAATGGAAGAGCAAGGGGTGATGCTGGTGGTGGGACACCAAGCACTGAAATGTGGCTGTGAGGGTGCTGAGCCTCTTAGGCTGGGGAGCCGGAATCAAAAGCATGGTGCTGGAGGTGTGAAAGTCCAAGGCAGTCTCCAGGGGGAGCGGCATGAAGCAGGGAGAGACCTCCCAGGTGGCAGTGCAGTGACCCCATTTCTACCTACAGGATGATCCAGGAGCCACCTTTGCCTCCTGGCTGGGAGATGAAGTACACCAATGAGGGCGTGCGCTACTTTGTGGACCACAATACACGCACCACCACCTTCAAGGACCCACGGCCAGGATTTGAGTCTGGGTATGTGCTTGGAGCTGGGGCTGGGGGTCGCTCACTCATTCCTCATCTGCCTGCTTTGTGGCAGGGACACTCAACATTGGGTGTAGGTGAGTGTAGGGTCTTGCATTGCATGGAGGAGAGCTCCCTGCATGCAGTGGGGGTCATCTCCCACCTGTGGGCATGGCAGTGTGTGTGCTGGAGCTGTGCCCTAAGTCCATCTGGTGCTGCTTTTGCAGGAGCAAGCAGGGTGGATCACCAGGTGCGTATGACCGGAGCTTTCGCTGGAAGTACCACCAGTTCCGCTTCCTTTGCCACGTGAGTAGTGCAGCTGAGGGCTGCTGAGCCCCCAGGACTAGGGGTGCTCATGGGGGGGCTGGTGATGTGGGATTGTCATGCCAGCCCACACATGGCCTTGTGTCTGTGCCTTGCAGTCAAATGCCTTGCCCAGCCACGTGAAAATCAGTGTTTCCCGACAGACTCTCTTTGAGGACTCCTTCCAGCAGGTGAGGAGGTGTAGGGTCTGGGGTCGTGGGGCTGTCCCCCTTTGAGCATCCCACAGTGACGTGCTCCTTGCTTCCCCCCATAGATCATGAACATGAAGCCCTATGACCTGCGACGCCGCCTCTACATCATCATGCGTGGTGAGGAGGGCCTGGACTACGGCGGCATCGCCAGGTGAGCATGGGGCCACATGTCTGCTGGGGGGCAGGGTGAGCCCCCCATGGCATGAGGCCTTCTGGTAGTGGGGCTCAGGGTTCCTGGCCCTCCTACAATGCCTGCTCAAGCAGAGGAGGTGAGAACAGTGTGAATTCTGGGAAGGCATTATGCTCCCCTATCCCTTGAACTGGGAGGACTGGAGGTCCAGCTGGGCTCTCCTACAACCCCCAGTGCAGAGTGGCCAGCGGGCTGAGCTGCCTTTGCTCCCTGCAGCCTGCAGATAGGCACTGGTGTTTCTTGAGATGGTGGTGTGTGCCAGGGCAAATGTGCTGCTGGCTTCTACCATCTGCCCAGTGGATGGTGCTGTGTGGCACTGCGCTGTGCCTCCAGCTGGAGGGACTGTTGTCCCCTGGCCAGCTTGTCTGGGTGTCCAGCTCAGTGGTGAGCTTGCATGCCTCTGCTGTCCCAGAACCTGTGCTTCAGTTTGCTCCCCACCTTCTCCTTCCCAGTGATGCTGCTGCCGGCTGCGGGCAGGGCTCCTGCTGCCTGCATCTCTCTGTGTCCTGCCAGTGGTTTTACCCTATGGTAGGTTACGTCATGCTGTTCTACCACAGGGTAGAACCACGGACGGGATGCCGGGGCTGCCTCTGCGTCTGAGGACTGCCAGCAGCAGGGGAGCAGAGTGAGGGGCTGCGCCTGTTCCCCACTGCTTGGAGTGGGAAACTGGGGGGGTAGGGGAGAGGATTGTGGAGAAGGATAGCTCGTGTTTGTGGGCACTGTATGTATGTGCACAGGCATGTGTGCGCATGTTTGACAGCTGGATTCACGCAGCTAGATTTTTCTTACTGATGTCTCCAAAGGCGCTTTGCGGCCAGGTCCTGGGCTGCCCAATACTCAGACCAGGGCTCAGTGCTTGCCCCGCACCCCGAGGAGCCAGGCACTGTCTGTGCAGCTGTGCTCCACGGTCATGGGGCTGTCCCCACTGCTGGGACGAAGCCTCCCTCCCGTGGCAGCCCCAGGAGCTGATGCCTGCTCACCACTGTCCCCTTCCTCTTGCCCAGGGAGTGGTTCTTCCTCCTGTCCCACGAGGTGCTCAACCCCATGTACTGCCTCTTTGAGTATGCCGGCAAGAACAACTACTGCCTGCAGATCAACCCCGCCTCCTCCATCAACCCTGACCACCTCACTTACTTCCGCTTCATCGGCCGTTTCATTGCCATGGTAAGAACCTGGGGCTGGGGAGATCTGCTTGGCAGGGTCCCCCTCTCTGAGCACTTTCTTGCTCAGTGTGTGCCCAGAGGAGAGTGGCCATGGGAGCATGAGGTGACGTGTTGCAGGGCTGGGCCATGAGGTTGGGGTCGCAGTTTCCTGAGGCCGTGCCTCCAGCCCCTTGGCTGCCATCTGGTGCTATTGGCTCTGCAGCTCCGGGGGGGCTGTTTTTAGGCCCAGTAGTGTGAGGTTTTCCAGCTGTGCCCCTGCTCGGATCCTCCTGTGTTCTCACCCTCCCCAGAGCCTGGTGGGCACAGGGCTGCAGTGGTACCAGATGGGGCAGGGTCTGCCCAAAATGCTGCGCCCTGCCCAGATCCCCCTGCCCTGCCCCGCGCCTCGCAGGATCCCAATAAAACTCCAGACTATTACTCACCGCTGGGCTGTTCTAGACAAGCGTCTGCATTATTTTTGGCTGCCTTTGCCTTAGGCTCCTGGAAGCCAGGGATTCAGGGAAGCCACAGCAGAGCTCTGTTTAAACAAGTGCTCTTAATAGAGCTGTGAGGGGAGAAGGAGATGCAGTGGAATTCGTGGTGGGGAGGGGAAGGGGTTGCAAGCCCCATGCTGTGGTTTCAGCCCTGGTCTGCCAGGAGCCCATCCTGGTCCCCCTGACCCCCCCATCCCCACGCCCTGTAGGCTCTGTACCACGGGAAATTCATTGACACCGGCTTCACACTGCCCTTCTATAAGCGGATGCTGAACAAGCGGCCCACTCTGAAAGACCTGGAATCCATTGATCCAGAGTTCTACAACTCCATCATCTGGACCAAGTGAGTGCCTCACGCTCCAGGGCTGTGTGGGGGCGTGACAGTTCTCCCCCTGTGGCCCCTCACGTCCTGGTGCACTCTGCAGGGAGAACAGCCTGGAGGAGTGTGGCCTGGAGCTCTACTTCATCCAGGACATGGAGATCTTGGGCAAGGTGACCACCCATGAGCTGAAAGAGGGCGGTGAGAGCATCCGTGTGACAGAGGAAAACAAGGAGGAGTACATCATGTGAGTCTGGTCCCGATGCCCCATTAGGCATCTGGCTTCGGAGCAGCGCTGGGTGGGAGCGTGGGGCTGGGGACGTGGCCCCTTCTTGGCTACGTGGCTTTGACAAGCCTGAGCTGGCGCTGCACTGCACTGCGGTCTGGCTGCCTGTGGTCTGGGCGGCTGCCAGGGCTCTCAGGGAAGAGGAGAGGGGAGAGAGGGTGCAACTCCTCGCCTCGTCCCACGCTGCTCGCCAGCCTGTGTATTGCGGGGCTGCTGGGGCCACCGTGGTGCTGCTGGCTATCACCCGATAGTGACTGCTCCCTCCTCAGAGCCTATTGCTGCTTGTGGGCTGGGAAGCAGTGGGAGGGAATCGTGGAATCATGAAGGGTGAAAAAGATGGTGAGGAGAGCCCCGGTGCCATACATGGACTCCTGCCTGCTTTCGCAGGCTACTGACGGACTGGAGGTTCACACGGGGTGTGGAGGAGCAAACCAAGGCATTCCTGGACGGCTTCAACGAGGTGGTGCCACTTGAGTGGCTGCGGTACTTTGATGAGAAGGAGCTGGAGGTGAGCAGGCCCTGTCCCAGGCAGGCCATTGTGGTGCCCATGGAGTGTGTGACCTCTGCTCAGCCCCGACCTCTGATCTCACCCATTGGCTCAGAGGTGTGCCCACCTGAGGCAGCAGGGGCTGCAGGGCTGCATGTTGGGTCTCTTGGTGAAAACTTCTCATCTGAGGCGAGGAATTCCCTTGTACGCTTCTGTTGCTTGAGCTTATGCCTTGCACAGCCCCAAAGGAGTGAGCGCTGTGAAGCGTGAACGTGGGGCTCTATTTCCATCTCCCTGACTGTCCTCCATCCCCAGCTGATGCTGTGCGGCATGCAGGAGATTGACATGAACGACTGGCAGAAGAACACCATCTATCGGCACTACACCAAGAACAGCAAACAGATCCAGTGGTTCTGGCAGGTGAGCCCCAGAGCCTTCATGCGCCATGCTCAGGGCCAGGCACTGCCTGAGGCTGTGGGGTGATGGGGATCCTCCTCCCTGTGCTTGCAGGTGGTGAAGGAGATGGACAACGAGAAGAGGATCCGCCTGCTGCAGTTTGTGACTGGAACGTGCCGCCTGCCTGTTGGGGGCTTTGCGGAGCTCATTGGTGTGTGGCCGTGCTAAGGTTGGGCAGGGAGAGGGATGGTGGCCATGCCTGGCTCTGGTTGCTGGGGCCAAGTGTTCATGTTCCCATTCCAGTAGGGTAGTGGTGAAGCTGCAGTGACATCTGAGTGAGGCAGTGTGCTTTGTTGGTGCTGTACTGAGACAGATTCCTTTAGCATGAACTGTGCCACTGCAGTTAACTTTGTCAGCCCAGCTTGCAATCTCATTTTGAATGAGATTTGAGTGGTTTTTTTTGCTTTTTTTTTTTTTTTTTTTTTTCTCTCATCTTTATGGTAAAGGTGACAGAGCACTGGAGCAGATTGCTCAAAGAGGTTTTAGAGTCTCCTTCTATGGAGATATTCAAGATCTGTCTGGGTGCCTACCTGTGTGACCTATTGTGTGTAACCTGCTTCGGCAGGGGGTTGGATTGTATGATCTCTTGAGGTCCCTTCCAATCGCTATAATTCTGTGATTCTGGTTTTTAATTTTAATTTTTTGTGCTATGAAACCCCTTCTTTGGAAAACCATAGCATGGCATTACTCTGTGTCTGCCCTTTAATTTGCTGCTTTTTGGGCCCCCTAACAGCCTGCCCACTGTTTTCTTGGAACTGATGTGTACAGCTAACTTAACCCATTCGGTTATTCTTACTGCCATATCAGCCTTTTTCCAGCCCCTTGAAGCCTGTCCATGGCTAACCGTTTGTTAAAAGCAGCCTCAGTGACTCAGACCTCCTGAGCCAGGTCCCTGGAAGCGTGAAGACAGACTGCTTAGTCCTGTGGCTCTGCAGAGGATGTGCGTTTCAGTGCTCACTGCTGAGCCACCCACCTTGCACTCTGTGCTGTGTCACTGTGTGCTCTGGAAAACGCTGTTCTGCTTTTCCTTTGGATGCTCATCCTCTCTGTTAAGGGCTCAGAACAGGCTCTGAGTACAGCTTTGGGTTTGTGCCCTCATGTGCTGTAACATCGTAGGGCTGAGGCACTCTGCTGGCTGTAGGGCCAGGTCAGGGTTCTTTTCCAGCTCCTGATCATGTAATGAGATCGGCTCTGCTCATCATTAACAGGCAGCAACGGGCCTCAGAAATTCTGCATCGATAAAGTTGGCAAAGAGACGTGGCTGCCTCGGAGCCATACATGGTGAGTGGCTGCTGCGTGACACTGTGGGGCACATGGGGACAGCTACTGATGTCCCTGTGGGGCTGCATGCAGCTTTGGCTGCCTGTATGCCCTTCTCCTATGGGATGGAGCTGCAAGGGGGACCTGTGGGAGGGGACCCTGTGGTGGGGAGCAGGGTGGCAGCAGCACTGGGCTCCCTGCCCCACTCACAGCGCCCTGTCTCACCAGCTTTAACCGCTTGGATCTGCCTCCCTACAAGAGCTATGAACAGCTGAAGGAGAAGCTGCTGTATGCCATTGAGGAGACGGAAGGCTTTGGCCAGGAGTGACGGAGCCCTGCTGCTCTCCCAGCAGCTCCGGCGGTGCTCGCAGCACTGCTGCCTGTGGGATGGTGCGGGTGGTGCTGATTCTGTTCTCTTGTTCCTGTGTGAGGTCTCACACACAGCCCTGGGGAAGTATCCATGTGTCTCTTCCAACCCAAACTGAAGTTGGGAGGGGAAAGTGGGGGTAAAAGCCCAGCCCTGCTCAGCCTGGAGCTGAGGAAGGGCCAAACCCAGCCTTGTGCACACAGTGTGCACCACAGCCTCTGTCCCTTCGCTGGGACATGGGGACTTGGGTGCTGCGTGGGGCTGTGGGCTGCACTCCCTGTCCCAGAGGCTGCTCCATGTTAGTGGGGTTGTCCCTGCTTGTGGGAAATCGCTGTGCACCTGGAAATGGACACAAGGAGCTTCTGACTGATGCGCTGAAACCAAGCCCCAGTGTTCTCTGCAGTTTATTTTGCCCCTCTCCCTGTAGCACTACTCAGCCCTTCCCCGTGTGGCACAGAGCCGCTGATGGACTCCAGCCCTGACTTAAGGAGCCAGGCTGGGGCTTTTCCCAGGCTTAATTAAGCGAGATCTGGTTTAGGTGTAGACTATCCCCCCTGTTATTTTTTCAGCCTTCCTGTGGCGTTTCAGTAGATACATTAAGGATGAGAAGTGGCTCTTGAGCTGACTCAGGTGCTCATAAAGATATATTTGCTTTTGGGCCCTATCCTGCTCCTAGCAAGGTACTTGGGTGCCTGCAGTGGGGGCTGCAGGGTGCAGGCAGGGCTGGGCCTGGCACCACGCTCCACCTTGCTACTGTGTTTTGAGTTGCCAGTGTGCAGTGCAGCTCTGTGCTGTTTGGTATTTAAAGCAAGTGCTGGGAGCTGGTGCTCTGCAGCTTGTGTGAGGCTCGACCACCCCTATCCTGTGCTGTGCCAGGAGTTTCCAGAGCTGTGATAAGGGCAGGATCAGGCCCTGTAGTACCCGGGGTGAAGGGCCATGATGTCCTGGCTGTGATTCTAGGACGGCCCTGGTGAGCAAGCATTGGTGTGTGTATATCTGTACATAAATGAAATTGTGGATACAAAGCTCTGCAATAGCTTCTGACCGGTAACTGGAGCGTTTTGTACTGCACCATCCTGCCTCAGTGATGCCAATTTCTTGTGCAATAAAAGACAAGCAGCTCTCGTGGTGCATCCCTGGCTGGTGTTACAGTGCAGGGAAAGCCCCTTGCTCCCCGTGGATGGGGCTGGAGGTTTGGGTACAGGATCTGAGCAATGCTGGTCTGGGGACTGTATGGGGTACCCTCCATGCCCCCATTTCAGGAGCAGGGACGGCTCTGCTCAGAGTTGGCCTCTAGGTTTGTTTCCATGAATACATACATACATTCCATCTGTTTTCTGTGCACACAAGGAGGCACCTTCCTTGTGCTGAGGGTCTGGCTGGGCACAGTGCCTGCCTGCCTCCCTTAGCCTGTAATCATGCTTAGTTAAAAATGGCTCTGGGCTGGCTGTGGTGCTGTGGCTGTGTGCCTACATTTGGGTGCCATGATAAACGTGTCCTCTGTAATTAGTGGGCTGCAGCCAGGGCGGGAGGGGTGGATATGACTGGCACAGCACAGTGGCACCACCCTCATGGGCATGTGGTGCCATGGGGGCTTGGATGCTGTCATGCTCTGTGTGGTGCTGGGGTATATCATGCTGACAGTTGTGAGGCAGCAATGGAAATCAGGCACATGAGAACAGCATCCCTGGGAACTGCAGCTTTTGGTTCAAAAAAGAAAAAAAATCCAACACAGCAGAACTAAATAAGCCTGCTGTTCACACCACCAGGGGCCAGCTAGCATCCCATAATTTTGCCATCACTTTGCTTTTCAGCAGCACTTGCAATGGGTTATTATTTCCTTTATAGACTATACTTGTGCTGCACTGTGGGAAACTGCTGCCAGTATGGCACAGCCCACCTCCAGAAATTCATTTGCTATGGGCCTCCTCTGGCTGCATTGCTGCCTCCTGGCCCCAGGCACTGATACAGCTCAGCCCACCCTGGATGTACCCACATACACCACCAGCTACAGCCAGACCACAGAACCCAACTACAGCAACTCTCCTCTTGTGGTGGCTTCTGCCACTTTGAGTCCATCATCCTTACAGCCGTGTTATAATGAATGCAATGAGTATCGAAGCGGCAAAAAGCAGAGCACTTATCATTACAAAGGAAAAGAACCCAGCAGCAAAGTGACTTAGTTTACAAGATTTTTTAATTTACAAATAAAAAAACTACACATTTTACTTTTTCTCTTTTTTCTCTTCTTTCTTGACATCGCTCTTCTCCTTGTCTTTCTCCTTCTCATCTTTCCTCTCCTTTTTACTCTCTTCTTTTTCCTGTCCTTCCTTCTTCTCTGCATCCCTGTTGGCAATCTTGTTGTTGATAAGGTTGTGCAGGGCAACCACTGAGCGGATAAGAGAAGCCAGGTAAACTACTACCATCTGGTCATTGGTCTTCAGGTAAAAGGCCTTGACAAATTCTTGCAGATTGACATCTGGTAGCAGGTTGAAGACATCCTGAAGGTGGTAAATGATCTGGTGATTGATGGGTAGCTTGCCCATGGCTACTTTCTCAAGGTAGCTCCTGATGTCCAGAAGCTTGGAGTTCAGTCCCTTCAAGCCATGGACCTGATTTGTGATTCGCTGGGACAGAGTGCCCACCGTGGTATCCTTGATGTCTCTGAAAAACGCGTAACAAAGATTCAACGTTAGAATGTCTGCTGCATACTCATCAACAGTGAATACCCACAGCTTAAGAGGTCTTTCCTGTTTATAAAGAACAGCAGTTGCAAGAAGCACAACTAAACAGAGCACTTCAAGTCAAAGAACGAGATCAAACTGATTTACATTAGAAAATGTATCTAAAATAGGTCACCACTGTATGCTTTTGTGCAGAAATGCTGTCTTTGGAATAGTAGTGATAACACCAGTTAGAGGGATAGAAAGAAAGAAGCCAACAGGATTTCCAACAGGTGAAAAGGCTGTGCAGTTCATATGAGGTGACTGCTCTTTTCCTGGCTGGCAAGCTTTGCCACTATGTCAGCTGCAGCTCCAGCAGCCATGGTCCCACTCAGTCCTGCTCTGTGATATGTGCAGGGGCTGAGATGGCTCCAGACCATTATATTTCAAAGCTTTGAACTGATGACAGTGTAGCTGTCGTCATTTGATAGAGTTCCGGTGGGCAGTTACACCTTTCACTAGCAATGACTGAACATGCCAAGCAAGGCTGCTAAGAGAACACACTCCTAGAACATAAGCAGCATGTTTCACAAGCTCTGCATTTTCTCCAGGAAGCTGGCACTGGGAGATGCCAGATGGACCACGTTCCCTGCTGTGCAAGTCTCTCAAGAAAGCTCTCATCTTAAAGGTGTTTACCGTAACAAGTGTTCAACACCAACTTCCTCTGCCTCCTCAGCTCCGATCTCACTAGTCACATGCTCGAACGTCTTGGAGGTTGGAGTGCCATCCTTTGAGGTGCACAAACACAAGGGGACAGGGTTAGGCTGTGTGCATAGCTGATTACAGGTACAAAGAGACGGACTGGCCGGTACAGATGGCTCACTCACAAACAGAGGGGCAATGTGAACTGTGCCAAAGCAGTGTAAGATGAACTGAGTCTCATTCGCGTGACAGAACCAGGAAGAGGCAACGGGACAAATTAGAGCAGAACAGTATCAGGACTGAAGCACACAGACCCCCCCCAGGGAATGCAACATCACCTATGCAGAAGGCAAATGAGTGCCATGGGATGTATATCCTTTTGAACATACAGACATCCTAACATCTTTCAATGGAAACCTTTTCCTAGGAAGGCACAGAAAAACATTAGGTGCTCACATCATGAACTTCTTCAACTGAAATATAAGCTTCTGTGGGCAGTCCCAGGTCCTTTGGTTTCACATCAATAATCACCAATACCTTACAGAAAAACAAAACAAAGCATTATAGAATACCAGGTTTTATTCAAGGACTGGAACAAAACACCTTCACACTACAGGCTATGCAGAGGTGTTAACTCCAAGCGTTTAAATAAGGCATCTACAGCTGTTTAAAATACTTTGCTGTGAGTTTTTTTCACAAGTTGTATCAACAGTTAACATAGGTAGGGGCCAAGAATTCCCATGTCCACAATTAGAGAAAGAAAAACAAACAAAGCGCAGTACTTACAGAGTTTGGACAGTATCTTTTCATCAGTTCATTGATAGCAATGTCATTCTTGTGCAGTTTAGGGCCTGTGTGGTACCAACCAACTATTCTTTCTCTAGCTGAGCAAAACCAGAAAGGATTCTAAATCAGAACTGTGTAGCAAGATAACAACAAAAGTATTTGGGTGGAGACTGAATTAGCAAATGAGCAATCTGGCGCATGCAGAAAATGAATGTAAGGCAGGGGAGAATGACTCAAAGGAGGCAAAACAATGGCATGGTTAGTGATGAAGACATTTTACAGAAATAATTGTACTCCAAGTTCTTAATTAAACTAGACTATTTCATGTAATGCAGTAATTCATATAACACAGCCATCTGTCAACTTGCAACTCTGACAAGGATACAAAAATTCTAGAAACAGGAACTGTTTCACAAGTGTCTCAATCATTTTGAATTGTTGCTAGAGCAAAGAAAATTCATGGGAATTAAATTTATGCCTGAATATTCAGCTTTAATGTCTCAAATGGAGTAGTGAAGAGTAATAGAATTATTAACGAAAACATGAGTTTGTAATATTTGTAAATGTTACATAAAACCAAAATATGTTCTTTTGTTCATTAAAAAAAAAAAACAATTTCAGGGCAAATCTGCACAGAAGTTACAGAAGAGAAACATATGTAATTCTTTAGAAATAGCAGCATTTATGAAATCTAATTCTGAAGATACAAAGCTGTCAGGAGACTTAGGAAAATTAATAAGGCATGAACAAATGTGTTAGGAACACAAACTACTTGCACAAATTAACCAATGGAAAACCATTAGCAAAAGTGAAGCTACGTAAGGAATTAGCATGGAGAGGCTTCTTACCTGGGCACACCATTTCCTGCTTAGCTATGAATGCACCTTCTCATGTGGACAAAGTTAAAAGTTTCTAGGAGTGTATCCATGCAAGGCAACCCAAACTTACCGTTAACCTTCTTAAACATTCCATACATGTTCTCCAGATAGTCGTGGTCCAGAAACCACACAGTATCATCCTTGTCATCTTCATCAAAAGGTACTGGAAATAAAATGTCAATATTTCAGAAACCAATTTTCTGATTAAAAGTATTTGTAGAAACACCGCGTTTTAGGATAGCTCTGGCTGCTAAGGGCAATTGGATCTTAATCTGTTTCAACTGCTCTGCAATGTTACACTGTAAACGCAAAACTACAGTGTAACTCTCCTAAAAAACGCAAAGTGTTCTGAAAGTTATCCTCGGTGGCCAACATCAAAGCGTCAGAAGGAAATTCTCCCCTGCACAACAGTAACTGCATGGTATGCATACACATTTGATATGATAAACAGGATCCCAGCAGACACTGCAGTTTGTTGATCAACAAAGAGCAAAAGGAGCTTTCACCATAGGATGCATTTCATCAACACTTTTACAGACTAGAAGAACATAAAGAGGCACTTCAGGGAAGAACCAGTTACCCCTGAGTAAAGGATTAGTGATTTTATCAGTTAGCATGTATACAGGGGCAAACTGCTGGTTTTGAGAACAGAGTGCCCTCAGCGTTTTGATTTACGGGAATATTAAAGCTTCAAAGTTGAAAGGCCGCCACAGTACCAAAAAAATCCCAAACCTCTTTTCAACTCAAAGGGAAAAAAAGATCTTCCAAAATTGGCAAAGAAAAACAGAAAAAAAGTCATCACGTGGGAGAACTCCTTACAACTGTGAAACTCCATAAATAAACTGAGATACTTCTACTTTGTCACAGAGCAGTCCCACTGGGCAAGAAATGATATAACTAACACAAATGGGTTAGTGAGAGCCGTGCACCCAAAAATTACTCCTGATACTACACGAAGGTATGTAAGAGGAAATGGTTTCAACACCATTGAGAACGTGCTTTAAGGAGGAAGGAGCGCTTCAACCGGACAAAATCTGAGGATGACATCTTCCCATAAGCAGTTACAGCCACACGAGCACTGAGCAGAGAGGTGTTC